GGGGGGTGATTTCACTAACAGTCATTTATCTGTTTGTCCTCCTCCCAAAATATCCCTGCAGATACACAGGCCCTGATACACCATGACACTTCCTGTTCAGACGCCCGTCACTGTGATACGAGGCAGTAAGTCACCTTCAAACCTCGGTGCCCAGTCGAGACATGAGTCTGGTCGTTCTTCTGCAACTGTTATTGTTTTAAACGATATTTGATTCTGCATTTCAACATATCTGTTAAGTCATCAAATGCATTCCAACCACATTAAATTTACTTTAATGCAAAACAGCAGAAACAATCTGAGCTTCAGATTTACTGCAGAGTTTGAGGTGTGTGTCGTGTTCGGTCGAGGTGGCGGGGCGTGGTCTGCTGCTGCTCTCCAGAGAAACAAAGAGGAAAAGAGCAGAAAGAAAATCGATCCATGCAATTGATAAATTATTTACAGCGCCACATGCTCCAAAAACTGATATACGCTCACTACATTCACTCCTTAGTGACATGATGAAAACAAGCGTCCAGTAACCGGAGATCAACCCACAGAAACTGATGACACTTCCTGTTAAAAGTGGAAATAAAACATACAAACTGCTGCTCTTGTCTCCTGCAGAAGATAGTGGTGGAGGATAATGACACAGCACAGACTCAATAATCAAAGGGTTATGAGGTTCAGGTTTTCGTTGCGTTTGGCCACGATGTAATATTCAGACTCATCACCAGAGTTTTTACTTGATGTTTTGTTGCCCACTATAAGATCCCTGTTGGCAGATGAAGACCCTTTACATATTAGAGCTAAAACTAATAATTATTTTCATTATCAATTAATCAATTAGTCTTAAAAAAAAACTGAGTTAAGAGAAAAATACAGTTTTCTTAACCAACCGTCCAAGACTGAAACTGTTCAGTTATTGAATAAGTGATTCATCTTCAAATAATAACAGCTGTAGTTTTATTACTTAATGTCATGAGGATGTATTTCTTCAGCATCTCCACTTATAATGATATTAAATCTTTTCCTAATTTAATCAAAGTGCCACATGATCGATCATCATGTTGCATTTAATCCAGAACAAATTTTAACAAAGTATTTTGCATCTTAAGCCCTAAAATTATCATATATTATATCTATTTATTCATATATTTTATTCTTATTTTGACCCAGTGAAACATTCAAAATCCATTGGACTCGATGATGCATGATTTTAAATTTCACAATGTGACAAATTCCTTAAAAACGTGAGAATAAATTAGAGATTCAAACTTCTTTTTTTTTTTTTTTTTTAGTTATTTAAATATAAAACTGAATGTTCCAGAAACACGTTAAGAATATCTGTTAGACAATATATTGATAAAATTCAAAATATAAAATGAAATTATAATTTTATAAAATAGAAATGCATACATTTTTTTTTGTCAGTGATTTCTACGTCATCACGGAGCCTCCGTACCTCAGTGGTGATAATGGCCTGTGATAATAAACAGGTTGAAACAGCTCAGGGAAAACAGCTCGTGGTGGATTAAAGACATCAGACTTCATTAGACACTCCCGCCCAGCACCCAGCCTCTGCAGACAATCACGATGCTGGGGATGGGGAGGGGGGGGGGGGGCTGTCGGCCTCTGCTGCACTTACCGAAATACACCGTCTTGTCGCATTTGGGACATTTGGACGCCATGGTCCGTCTGATCCGGATCAGGACAGGGAGACTGGGTCGTGTCGGGTCGGTCCACCGGCAGCCTGACGCTCTGCTCGCCGTCTGTCTGCAGCTGCAGCGCCGCAGACACACCTCACAGGACGGCGGTGGTGATGGTGATGATGATGGGAGTGGCACATCCTCCAGTTGGTTCCTCGCCTCAATTTGCATGACCCCGCCCCCGCGGTGACGTCATGCAGAAACAATAGATGAAACGTTCTTCACCCTGTGTTGAAGACTTAGAAAGTGACACATTATGCAAAACAACAAACGTGATTAACGTTGAACAGAAACATATTTTCATTTATTCTGAATGTAAAGAAAATAGTTTAAACAATATCGTTAACCTCCGGATTCTACTGAGGAAATGTCGTATTCATAAAGAGAAACTTCTTAAATCAAGTCCGTCATCATTGTTTCTGATTGGTCCTGAACGTTACTTCGAGCCTGTCAAATCTGTAACAAACACGAAGTCAGCAGTTAAAATATATTCTGACTCACTTAAATGATAGATTTGTTCTTTTTTACATTTATGTATTTGTTCTTTTTTATTGTTATTATCTGCTGAATTTCTCTGAATGTTTCTATATTGAAGAACTGATCTGTCTGATTGTTTGTTCATTTTTCTATTTAAATAAAGGCGAGAACAAAGAAAAAAACAGCCTTCCACCTGTGTCAATGCATTCCTGACAGTGCTTTGTAAAACAATGAAAGCTTCAGTGTTTCCATCAATATTGAGTTAATTTTTCTAATCACTGTCTAATCACTGTGTATCCATGGTAACAGATTAATAGCAGTTAATGTGAGCTCCAACTAAATCTTATACAGTAATAATGTTAACATAATGAGTGCTTTTACTTTGACACTTTAATTAGATGATGATAATAATTTGTACTTTTATTTAAACTTGCATTAATGTTTTGGTCACATGGGGAAATTGCAACAAGCTGTAAACACAACACTGATATTAATATTGATTGACTTTTAATTTGTTTGAAAACCCTCTGGAGTCCATTTTGATGTTTGTTGATGTATTATTTCTGTCACACACATTTTAAACCGTCACTATTTCACCAGCATCGGATCCTTTTTTCAGTCTGACAGATTATAAACAGCTTGGAACGCAAGATATATGAAATATAACACAGGCACCTGTGAAAATGTTCATATCTATAGTCATTATCAATCCAAATATTATTATAGAGAAGCTCAGAGTTGTAAAAACTATTATTTTACAACACAGCAGAGATATGTAAGAAATGAAACTATAAAACAGTTTATTTACATGTAAAGGATTTTATTTCAACTCAGTTTTCTGCCTTTTTCACCAAAATTATAAATCATGGAAAATATGAACAATTCAGAATGAAAGTGAACTGATTTCCTCAGCTTGTCTCTGTGTGATGTACAAAGTTCTGTAAATGAAACAGTGGCCACAGCTGCAACAAACCATCATTATCATTATTGATTAATCTGCTGATTATTTTCTAAAAGAAAGTGCTTGTGGTCTCTTGTGATGTGTTCAGTTTGATTGTTTTGTAAAGCCAAAGGTATTCAATAAGAGCTCTGGGTGTAAACCCAGCTACACATACAGTATGTGCGGTTGCAGGTGCTTTTATTTTGGAAATGTCATTAATCCTAAATCCTAGCAGAGTCGGCTCCCCTGCGTTCATCAGGGTCTGCCGTCAGTGTTTGTTGCCGCCTGGTTGTTTGGTTACGCCGCGGACAGTGCAGCTCTTCACGGGGAATGTTAAGTGATGCTCTGTATATTCTTGGCACCGTGACACTAGAGGAGCTGACACTGGACGGCCTTCAGGGTGTGGTTAAGAATAAAAATAGATTACATTTTAAATGTGGCTAGTTGGCCAAACAGTATCACCATATTTTCTTCCTCTCTTTTTCTGAATAATTCAATCAAAAGATTAAAAGATCCCTAAAGACTGCAACACTAAACAGAGTCATCACAAAATATTGATATTGAACTGAGGACGCTGTCATGTTCCTCAAATGAAAACATGAAACAAAGCAGAATGCCACATTTTCCACTTTTATTTGAGGCTTGACTGACGCTCTTTTAACGACGTGATCTTGTTGAGTTATCAGTGCCAACCATTCATCTCAATGTGGCTGACTTCTGAAATCACAACCAGTAACCAATTATTAGCATTTTCTTTTGCTGATTTTCTGGTAAATTTTGTTCTGAGTCGAGACGAGATTTAGAAGTTTTCAATTTCGGTTCTTTGTGTTTGTAAATTACCTCCATGATCATCTCAGTTTTTCATGCACAAGACTCTGAAGGTGAAGAAGAGTAACTGTGGGATGAATGTGAGAGCAGAATTCAGTGCCAGTGGGACTTTCCTTTCCTTTAAGTGTCTCTGACGAGTCAAGCTGTTTTCCATGAGATAAACACACACAAACAGAAGGAAAGATGGAAGCAGTGGCCATTTTTTCCAGTTAGTGCACTTAGTCTTGAGCCATCTAGGGCCTGGGAATGCACTAATCTTAAAATAAACAGCTCCAGATTGTGTCTGTCCATAGTTTTAGTGGGGGTCTGTGTCATATCTGCTTAAAAGCCTTTTTGGGCGTCACATTTGTCAGCCTGACCATTGTGTTTATACATCACAGCCTCAGTAACTCTGACAGGGGACATTTATTATTTCATATTCTGATAGAGTTTGAGCAAGTTCTTTTTCTACTACTCTTTACAACATGTTGGTCCTCCCGAAACATTTTGTTAGGATTGCAAACCACTCAGTCACACATCCCATCTGCTCCTGTTTCAGAATTTAGACACTGTATTTCTCATTGAGTTAAAATCATCACTCTTTCTCTTTCTCTATTAGTTATTATTGCTGTTAATTTTATTACATATATATTGAATCTATTAGTTGCTCATCATTTTTATGAAGTCACGTGATCTATATTGTGCAAAAAATAAAAGTAAATAAATAAAGAACAATGTGGATTAAAAGCAAGAAAAAAGTAAGAAGATTCCTTGACAAACACTGAAGAACCAGGATTGAAAGAAATGTTATTAAAGTTCTGTCACAAAAAAAGTTTATTTGTCGATAAAACCATGTATATATTCTATACAAAAACAAAAAGACTGTAGTTGGCAGGGTGAAAACAAAAATGACCCAACAGCCCTGGAGGCTTTCTGAGCTTCAACATGAGAGAGAAAAAAACATCTATCATCATATATATACATATATATACATATATGTATATATATGTCAATCATACAAATGAGGTAGTGTATAAGAAAAGCAAAATAAAAATAATTTAAGAGGTCAGTCATTTACATTTGTAGAAAGTATGTAATCAGTTTTTTTTCCCCCGATTTGGGAGATTACAAAGTTTCAAAGAAATACTACAAACAGACATATGAGTAATACAGTCATATGAAGGGAAATATGAGGTCAGTTTTGCAAGACCTGATGACATTGTTAGAAATGTACTACAGTTAACAAAGTAGGGCTGTAGTCAACCAAAGAAAATCTTGGTTGACTGAAATAGTATCTACTGAGTGCACTCTACCTGGTAGCCATATTAGTCAAAATATATCATAAATAAAACAAAAAGATAGTATTAGCAGCATAACATATTGAAATATGACAATTCTGATATGTTGACATGACATGTTGGTTGTTGAGCTGTTTCAGCGGCTATGTGAACTTATATGTCTTCCCACCTGAGACACATCCCAATATCTTTCCCTAAGCTGTTGCTGTGATTTCTCACCTGTGTGCTTTCTCACATGCTTTTTTAAAGCACAAGTGCAACCGTATCTTTTCCCACAGATGCTGCAGGGATACGGCTTCTCACCTGTGTGAGTTCTACTATGCGCTTTCAATGATGAAATGGAAGACAAACCTTTCCCGCAGGTGTTGCAGTGGTACGGCTTCTCACCTGTGTGAGTTCTCATGTGGACTTTCAATACATAATTAGATACAAAACCTTTCCCACATGTTTCTCAAGAATATGGTTTCTCACCTGAGTGAATTCTCTTGTGGACTCTCAATACTGTCATGGACCTAAATTTTTTCCCACAAGAGCTGCAGGTGTATGGGGTCTCACCTGTGTGTGTTCTCATGTGTAATGTCAGTGAACTACTACAAGAAAAAAGTTTCCTACATGTTTTGCATGAATATGGCTTCTCACCTGTGTGAGTTCTTATGTGCACTCTTAAGACAGAACTATTTGTGAAACTTTTCCCACATGTTTTACAAAGATACGGTTTTTACCTGTGTGTGTCCTCATGTGGATCAACAAACTTTTCCTCCATTTGAAACGTTTCTCACATCTTTCACAAGAATATATTCTCTCACCTTTGTGTGTTCTCAGATGTTTCTTCAATCCTGACTTGCACTCAAAGGTTTGTCCACAAGTGTCACATTTGAAAGACTTTTCACCTGTGTGAGTTTTAGAATCAGTCTTTGATTCTGAATCTGTAGTTGATCCTGAGTCCACATGTTGACTTCCTGTCTGATCTTGGCTCTCAGCTACAGGAGAGGTGTGAGAGAGGAGCTGGTGGTCACTGTCTGGTTCTGGTTCACTGTGGTCACTTTCCTCATGATCAGGAGTCAACACAAAGGTATCAGGTATCAGCGGGGTCTATGGGGCAGTGGGCTGGCCCGGACGCTCGGCTTCTGCATGATGATTGGATGATCTGTCTGAGGCTGAGTCCCTTTTTGATTGACAGCGAAATGAGCGAATCAGCGATCTTGAAGTATAAGCATCGACCGGAGCAAAGGAACGGAGGGTAGAATTTACATATAAATAAACGGAAACATTTTAAGATGTAGGCTGAAAATGAGCTTCCCCTCCTTATAAGACCAGCAGCCGCCACTGGTTTAGCAGTATGTTTTTTTAGCAGGTCATTTGACTATTTTTTTTTACTTTATTATTTTTTTTTAGAGTGTATGCTCCATCTCAGCCACTGTGGCTGGCTACATTCCAAGGAACGTAGCCTGGAATCACCATCCCTGCACACAAGACAGTCTCAGTCCAGAGTGTTCTGGTCTGTGCTTCCCTGATGGTGGAACAAGCTATTAAATACTATGAGAGCAGCAGTGTCCCTCTCTATCTTCAAGAATCTTATCAAATAAAATTCAACAAAACACTGATTCTTTTTATTTTTATTGAAGTTTTAAAGATTTCATGTCTATGTAACGTAGAATCAGTCGTGGTCATCTTAAGACAATCAGTGTTGTATTTATGTAGGTAGAGTACTTTAGTAAATGAACTCAGTTACATTATTACTGCTGTAAAACAAGCTTGCTCAATATTAGACACTTCAATTAATCAAACCACCAAACTGTATCATACCACACTTTACCTGAACCTCCAGCAAATGAGCTGCAACATTGAAACACCTCTTACATGTTATAACTGAACACTATGAAAAGAACTCTTCTTCACTACATCTACTTTCACTATGGATGTCAGTCACGCTGATCCGCTGAGTTTACTTGTAGCTTTAGACTTCAGTGTGAATCTGGTATTCTGACATTATCACCTAACAGAGCTTCACTGTTTGGACAAATACATGAGAACAGAAGAACAGCATTTCCTTTCCCACGTTACTTTATGCAGAGATCATTGTGTACATTGCCCACATTTAGACTGATGATGCTCATAGTTACCCTCATCATTCAATCCATTAATTTATATTTTAAAAATTTCAAATAAAAATTGTATTTAGTGGATGAAATCAAAAATACATAAAAATATAAAATTAAAAGGACATGTTCAAGACAAAAAAGATAAGAGCCTAGTTGGCAGGAGTTCACAGACCACTCAATAGTAAATAAAAGGCATTTAAGAGGTCAGTCATTCACAAGTTTTTTTTTTTAGATTTGTGAGATTAGGTTTAAAGACAATCCAGCTGCAAACAGAAATATGAGAAATATAATCAAATGAAGGACTAGTTTAACAAAACCTGATGACATTATTAGAAATGTAGTACAGTAAATGAAGTAGGGCTATAGTCAACTAAAGAAAGAGTTGTTTCATTCAGTTGCTGAACTCTTCTTCACTCAAGTTTCATCTGTATGGTTTCTCCTGCGTTAACTGATTCTCTGACAAAAACCTTTCCTGCAAGAGCTGCAATTGTGTGGTTCTTCACTTCTGTCGGTTCCCGTTTTGTCCATGAACAACAACAACCGAATACTCTACCTCGTGATTTTCAAACATAAGGCCTGTTTGGTGATATGGTTTCTCACTAGTGTGGGCTCTTCTCATGCTCACTTTCAGTTCACCACTAAGTCTGAAAGCTCTCCCATGTGTTGTAAATAATTCAACTTTTAACCTAGGTGTATTTTTACATGCTTTTTTAACTCTGACAACTGAATGAAACCTTTCCCACAGGTATCACAGGAGTATGGCCTCTCACCTGTGTGCAGTCTCACGTGTGCTTTCAAAACTGACCTGTAAGCAAATCTTTTCCTACAGGTGTTGCAGGTGTACGGCTTCTCACCTGTGTGAATTCTCATGTGGACTTTCAGATTACTACTACGTCCAAAACCTTTCCCACATGTTCCACAAGAATATGGCTTCTCACCTGTGTGGGTTCTTTTGTGATCTTCCAGTGCAGACTTGCTACAATGATTTTTCCCACATGTCTCACAAGAATATGATTTCTCACTTGTGTGAGTTTTCATGTGGAAGAGAAAGGCCATTTTACCAGTAAAACTCTTCCCACATGTTTTGCATGTAAACGGATTCTCAATTCTGTGTTTTCTCATGTGGTCCAACAAGTTTCGTCTGTTTGTGAAACGTCTCTCACATGCTTCACAAGTATATGGTCTATCAACTGTATGTGTTCTTAGATGTTTATTCAATCTGTACTTGGACTCAAACGCTTTTTCACAAGTGTCACATTTAAAAGACTTTTTACGTGTGAGACATTTAGACTCAGTCTTTGACATGGGAGAGTTGTATTTATTGTTACGGTGACCCCTTTTTTTCTTACGTCTCCTCTGTGGCTTTGACTCTGCATCTCTAGTTGAGCCTGAGACCACATGTTGACTTCCTGTCTGATCTTGGCTCTCAGCTACAGGAGAGGTGTGAGAGAGGAGCTGGTGGTCACTGTCTGGTTCTGGTTCACTGTGGTCACTTTCCTCATGATCAGGAGTCAACACAAAGGTATCAGTCTCCAGCTTCAGTACAAGCTGCTCTCCCTCCTGACTGCTGCAGATTTCCTCCTGTTCCTCTTTAACCTTTGGTGGTTCTGGGTCGTCCTGGTCCAGACTGGAGTTCCTCTTCTGGTTCCGGAGCTGCTGGTCACTGAGAACCTCCTCCTCCTGACAGACATGTTGCTGTGGGAGCTCTGGAGGGACAAAGGGACACAAGAAATACTGTATATTACATAAGTGATGATTGAAAAATTACATTGCTTAAGTTAGTTTCAGATTAAACATATACAATATGTGCTTTTCACCATTTTTCTCTATTCTCTATAAAAGTATGTGCAATGTAAAAGACAACTGTAAACAATACAGCAATACTATTAGGAACATTTAAGTGCTTCCTTCTGAAAAACAGATAATAATGAAAAATAAATATTGAAGATAAAAAGAATACAGTAACATTGAAGTGCTTAAAGAACTGGTGAACTGGAGTTTAAAGTAAAATCAAGAAGGCCACTATCACTTATTTCTTCATTCTTTTTCGGTTGTAAACAAAGAAATTGTGAAGGACAGATCATGTTCAGCATTGAACGTGCACACACGTATTTTTTTTTATCGCAGACACGGTCAGTCATTGATGACTGAGTGTCAACTGTAACTGTCGCTCCCGGTAACGTAGTTATATGTTGGAGTGCGCGGACAGCAGCTTTATGACCGAGAGAGCACTTCTTCTCGCCGGTGGCAGATAGCAGCTTCCTCGAGCACACTCTGCAGAAACAAGCGCCCGGCTCCTTCAAGCCGCTGGATCCTACACCGCCAGTGTTGCCAAGACCCACCTCGGTCTGCACCTGATTGGCTAGTGAAGTTGGTTATGTTCAGTGTCTGTTTAGGTTGTTCTCACCACAAATTGTCACTGAATCTTTCATACTGTTTGAAACACATTGTCAAATTTGTGAAATCTATATTTTGTTAATGAAATTAACAACATAAAAAACAGTGTGTCGATATAGATTACACTTGTCAAATCTAAACCAGAATAATTGGGAGAGTGTAAAGACTGTTTACAACACTTTCACATTTGTGAAGCCTTTGTTCTTTTAGTGGATACAAGAATATGTGGATTTAGCTGTTTAACGGTATAGTCAGAACAAACTTGTGGAGTGAAATCCAGCTTTGATAAACATGAGGTTTTTAAGTTAAACCTGGTCTTTTGTTATCTGGATGGAGAAAACACAGTGAATTAAGTCCAATATAAGTCACATTCCTTCTTTAGTATTCATTAAGACCATTTTGGTTTTACACACCTGTCCTGTGTAACTTTATTCCAGGTTTCCAAACGATATCCAGCAGTCTGCGCTGACGACCGACCTCTTCCTCGTACTGGACGACGGTTTTTTCAAAGACTCCGAATATTTCTTCAGCAGCAGCAGTTAGTCGCTCGTTGACGAACTCTCTCAGATACTGAAGAGAAGACATCGCTGCTTCGTTACAGCTGGAATATTTAGCTGAGATACGACCACACCACCGTCTTCAAGCTGACATCACATATCCACAGAGCTAACGCTGCTAGCGCTTCCTTGTTTACTTCCGCCGGGTGTCACACTGTGAAGTTCCGGTTTCAGTTAAGCGCAAGTCCGTATATTCATTCTGGACTTGTACTCAAAAGCTTTTCCATAAGTCTCAGAGCCAGTCTTTGACATGGGAGAGTTGGGTTACAAGCTAGCATCACACAGCCACAGAGCTAACGCTGTTGGCGCCTAATTGAAAGCGGAAGAAAAAACTGACCTGTCGCACTGCCGGAACTTCACAGTGTGACACCCAGCGGAAGTAAACAAAGGAAGCGCTAGCAGCGTGAGCTCTGTGGATGTGTGATGTCAGCTTGAAGACGGTGATGTGGTCGTTGATTCACATGAGAAAACACACAGGTGAGAAGCCATATTCTTGCGGAACATGTGAGAAAGGTTTCAAATGGAAGAGTAGTTTGATGATCCACATGAGAACACACACAGATGAGAAGCCATATATTTGTAAAACATGTGGGAGAAGTTTTGCAGGTAGTTGTGTCTTAAAAGTCCATATAAAAACACACACGTGAGAAAAGTTTCAAATGCAGAAATCACTTGTCTTCTCACGAACTTGCACAGATGAGAAAGAATATTACTGCAAAACATGTGGGAAATTTTTTCTTGTAGCAGTGCTTTGACAATCCACATGCGCATACACACAGGTGAGAAACCATACTCCTGTAGCACCAATGGGAAAAGATTTATGTCTATGTCACAAATTGAAAGTGCATATGAGAACTCGCACCAGTGAGAAATCACATGTTTGCAACACCTGTTAGAAAAGTTTCAGATGGAGATATGAGTTGTTTATCAACAAGAGAACTCACACAGGTGAGAGGCCATATTCTTGTGAAACATGTGGAAAAAGTTTAATATGTAATAGTGATTTAAAATTCCACTTAAGAACTCACACAGGTGAGAAGCCATACCCCTGCAACACCTGTGGGAAAAGATTAAGTTCCCTCTCATCATTGAAATCACATATTAGAACTCACACAGGTGAGAGGCCATATTCTTGTGAAACGTGGAAAAAGTTTCATATGTAATAGTGATTTAAAAGTCCACATAAGAACTCACACAGGTGAGAAGCCATACCCCTGCAACACATGTGGAAAAAGATACAGTCGCACTTCAGCTTTAAAAACACACATGAGAACGCACACAGGTGAGAAACCATACCTTTGTAACATCTTTGAGTAAAAATTCACTCTGCTGTCTTCATTGAACGCTCATTCAAAAATCCACAGAGATGGGAAGTCATATACCAGCAACAGCTGAGGGAAAAGATATTGGGATGTGTCTCAGGTGGGAAGACATATAATATCACATACAGGCAAGTAGCCTTGTGTTTGCAAAATATCTTGGAGAGCACTCAATTTTAGTTGTTCATGGACAAAACAGGGGAACTGACAAGTGAAGAATCACACAATTGCAGCTCTTGTAGGAAAGGTTTTTGTTAGAGAATCAATTTACGCAGGAGAAACCATACAGATGAAACTTGAGCAAGAAAGATTTCAGCAATTGAATGAAACACACTTTTACAATAACTGCTTCTCTGTAATTGAATGTATAAAATTTCCCACTGATAGGAGGTCACAGTATCTTAGTTTTAGGGGTGTAGTCGCCACATTGACTGGTCGAACCTAATTCCCATTGGTCAGAGAAGAGCATATCATTGGAACAAATCAGAATTGGCATATTTCAATATGTTATGCAGCAAATACTAGCTTTTTGTTTATTCATAATTCAGGTAGAGTGCACTCAGTGAACTGTGACTGATTTAGTCAATTTTGAGAAGGCATGGAGGTTTTTTCCTCTATGGCTGGTCAATTGATTGAAGAGTGGATACGATTTCAGTGACCAAGCTTTTCTTCAGTAGACTACAGCCCTACTTCGTGTGAACGTAGTACAATGCCATCAGGTTTTTTTTTTAAGTACTTTCACTTTTTCTCTTCATATGACTGTATTACATTACTTACATTTCTGTTTGTGGTATTTCTTTGAAACTTGTATTGTACTGTCTGAGTGCATACTTCCTACAAATGAAACTGACTAACTTATTAAATGACTTTTTTTATCCCTAATGCTGATGATCTTGTTTTCAAAGGAGGCAGACTCCTCACACTTTGAGAGGAAAGCTGTACAAGTTTGTCAGGGCGAAGGGTGTTTAGGAGGCAGTCAGTAGTTGAGAATAGAATTTTTGGGTTAATGGCATTGTTGCAAATAATTTTAGAAAAATATGCCTGCCTTTCAGTTTGCACAGCTTTGTTGTAAGTATAAATGGTTTTTAAAAGAATGTCACGATGAACTGTGAGTTTGGTGTTCCTCCACATGTGCTCTGCTCTCCGACATTCCCTCTCCAGGAGACCTGTATTTGCATTTCTCCAGGGGGTGGCCTTAATATGCGATTTACTTTTATTTTTCACAGGAACTGCTAAATCGAAAGATGATCTTAATTTATGGTTAAAATGATCAACCTTTTCATGAATATATGTAACTTCATCTGAGGGCCTCCTTAAAGAGTTTACGAACATGTTGAGGAGGGACTGAACAATCGTCTTTTAATAATACACTATGTGTTGTTCCTTTCTATCCCTGCGACTGTTACATTAAAAAACACGCAATAGTGGTCTGACACGGTTAGGTCAACAATCCTATTGATCAGTGTTTAGCCCTCTGAAAATTACTAGGTCTAAGGTATGGCCACAGTTGTGGGTTGGCCCAACTGCATGCTGTACTAAGTCAAATGAAAGTAGAACCTGCATAAACTCCACAGCCCTGTCGTCCAGGGGGTTATCAATATGAAAGTTCAGGTCACCAGCCAAGAGAATGCTGTCATAGTTGGTGACACAGATTGAAAGTAGATCTGAGATTTCTGGTAGAAAAGAGGCTGTATATTTTGGTGGTTGGTAGATAGTCACCTTTCAATAAACCTGTCTATATAATGAAACATGAATCAACAGATAAATGAACAAATGAATGTAGCAAAATACTATAGGTGAAATGAGGTTACACAGTATGAATCAACCTTCCACAGTGTTGTATTGGAATATGCTGCATAGATTAAATATAATTATGAGTGCACAGGTCAAGAAATATTATTGAATACACATTACATTCTGACTGTTAGCCGTTGCTGCATTCTTGTTCTGCACTTGCATTGTGTGTATACTGCCATAGATTAAATACTATACCAGTAAGGCACTTTGTGTAAATATCAATCAATCAATACTCAGCATCTTTTCTCTAATCTTCTCCTGAGTTTGCGTTCCAATGTAGATCCCACAAGGGTGACACAGACTATCCATCTGCACACAACTACATTGGGCTGTGGCTGCCGTCGCTGGAGGAGGGCGCTATTTCACCCCTCCCCTCATTCGTGCCAGATGTTTTCCCAGTTATCTTCTTAATTGTCCTCATGTTCGTTAGTCTCATGAACTGAAACACTTCCACTGGTATTCCTCTTAAGTCTCTTCTCCTCTCCTTTTACAGGGAGGAGGGCAACATTGTTAACTCAAGTACAACTTAGTGCTAGTGTGCTGGTGGTGTGTGTACCTGTGGTGGGGGTGGTGGGGGTCATGGCAGTCATAGTTAGCGTTGTCATAGGCTGAGGTGTGGTTTGCTGTCGATGCTGCGTCTGATACCGTTGTGAGAGTCAGTGGTGTTGTGGCTGGTTCTCGACGAACATTTAACTGTGCTGGAGGTTTCAGCTCCACATAATGTATATCGTTGGCTGATCCAGGAACACTCGAACACTCTTTGGTAATTTCCCACCATAATAATACTCACCTGTTCGTCCCAATGGACTCTGATATCCCACTCTAATCTCCCAATGCTCATGCTCCTCTTTTACCCACAAATCACATGCTAATTGCCCCCAGTCACACCTCATTACACTAAAGAATCCTGCTGTCCACGTCATTCATCTGCAGCGACAGTCACCAAAACTGTCAACTCAGCTATGTCTCTGGACCAAGTCTGATCTGCCTCATGTCTCCTCTCTCTTTCTGTCCCTATCCACTCATCTCTCACAGGCCAGCCAGACAGACTGCTCACCTCTCTTCTTCCTGTTCCTACTCTTCACCTTTCTCCCTGACAGCTCTTACATATCGTTTCCAGATGTTCCTGCCATGTATAGAATTATAACTGCCTTGTTAATGTTAATTATCACGTGTACTGAGACTTTGTAGCTTAGGTAGAAAAGCTTTGTGGTTCCTTTGTTCTTTATTCATCTCAGTGAATACATGATCGTGGAGTTATTGACCCAGCACTGATAGTGAAGTGCTTCAACTAGAACTGTTGTCCCTTGTGTCTGATTGTCTCTGACTCGTCTTAAAGACGATGACCGAGCTTGAAGATAAAGAAAATAATATCTCCTTTCCTAACCACTTGATGCCAAGTGGAATTCATAAAAACAAAAAGGATTGAAGGAAAAGTTGAGCTATTAAAATAATTAAAAATAAGGAAGGGATCATAATGAATTATCTTCAGACATAACTATATAGCGTTTCATGGCATGGGAACTTTTGACCTTTTTCCATTAAGTAGAGAAAATTCCTTATCAGTGCTTTACACAATGTGGAGGATTTAATGAAACAACATTTATGTTTGTAGTATTTTCTGGATCTTTTGAGGATGGAGATATGGATATTGATTGGACAAGAATTGGGAGTAATAAGAAAGTGGGAGGAAGAAAGGAAAAGGACAGAAAAAGTTGGAGAGGTACAAAATGCCGAACAGAGAAACAAGGCGCTTAAAACTCAAACAATATGTATGAAAAGAAATGGAAAAAAGAACAATTGGTGAGAGTCATGGATTTAGGTTAGAGAAACTGCAAATTCCTCTTGGAGAAAGTTTTGAAGAACTGGAAAAAAATGCTTAAAGGAGGAACAATAACAGACGGCTTCAGACATATAAAACCAGTGAAAAACTGGGCCATATTGCTGGAATTCTATTATCTATTATTAAATGTACTATTTGTAAGTTTTGCTATTGCTACATAGCCCAGTGTTAGCATTAGCAGCTGTTTACTTCCCAGTTTAGAATGACATTGCAAATTTAGTATCAAACTTCATTCCTTTACTTAGCAAGAGCTATCTCCAGCAGTGGAATACAACCCCTTTGTTTTGCTTCTATCACTTCTTTTATATATACTATACTGAAGTTAGCATGCTAACTACCTAGCCCAGGCTTGTTTGGCCCATATTGTCACTTTCCAATACTGAGTCTGTCACTGTAGAGCCCAGTCTGCCCTGCAGAAGTAGCACTGCTCAGACAGCTTAATTATAACCTCTTCTAAACGCATAAATGGCTGAAGATCTTGGTAAGACTGTGTGTGTAAACAACTGTAAATGCCAATGTTTAACATACACAAAGAAAAGTATGAAAAATGAGAAGAACAAGGACATATTATTGAGGATGAGGTTTGGTCACACTAGTCAGAATAGCAGCCTACATTAAAAATAAAGCAGTAGATGTGAACTATGGGGACCACAGGAAACAATGATTATGCACCTGTATACTGCCCTAGAATTATTATGAGACTTAAATGTATTAGTACAGTATCTGCTGATTCACACTCCAAACCTGAAGGTGGCGGCAATTCACCCTGAAGCTGTTTGCAAACCGCCATGAAACAAAAAAAAGGAGGAGAAGGATCAAAAAGCTGCCTCCTCTCACTGCCGGAACTTCGCAGTGTGACACCCACCGGAAGTTAACAGAGGAAGCGCTAGCAGCGTTAGCTCTGTGGATGTGTGATGTTAGCTTGAAGACGGTGGTGTGGTCGTATCTCAGCTAAATATTCCAGCTGTAACGAAGCAGCGATGTCTTCTCTTCAGTATCTGAGAGAGTTCGTCAACGAGCGACTAACTGCTGCTGCTGAAGAAATATTCGGAGTCTTTGAAAAAACCGTCGTCCAGTACGAGGAAGAGGTCGGTCGTCAGCGCAGACTGCTGGATATCGTTTGGAAACCTGGAATAAAGTTACACAGGACAGGTGTGTAAAACCACAATGGTCTTAATGAAGACTAACTAAGGAATGTGGCTCATATTGGACTTATTTCACTGTGTTTTCTCCATCCAGATAACAAGAGACCAGGTCTAACTTAAAAAAACAAAACGTGTACTAATCAAACCTGGACTTACTTTTACTGAAAATTTACTCTCTTTATGAAAATGCACAAAAAACAAACTAATAAAATGAAAAAGCACTGATACTCGTAAACAACATCGGACCACTTAAACTGATGGAAACTGGAATAAATTATCCCAGAGAAGCCCGTTTCAGATCTGTGAAACCTTTCGTCCACGTCTGTCTATTTCATTTCTGATTCGATAAACATCTCCTCCTTCTCACTTAAAAACAAATGTACAAAAGTTATTTTCACTCTTTGAAATACAGACACAAAATATCTTTATACATTTAATTTTGTTCACTTAATCTTCCAATTCTTTCCATGACACGTTTCCTAGAGACTTAATAAATTTAAAGCTACTAATTGATATGTTGTGGTAATCCCGTTGCTGCTAAGTCTTTATATTTCTGTATTCAGAAAAAGAGTATAGGCTTTATGGATTTGGGTGGGGGTTTTGAAATCACTGTTTTTCATGTCTAAACAGAGAATAATAAAATTGAAAATCTGAAACTGTCTTTCAGCACTTTAGTCCAGGTATGGTAAGTAGAGATATTTCAGCTATACCTGGGCTATTGTCTGGATGGAGCAAAATAAAATCACCTCTTCTTTTTTTTTTTATGCTTTTTTTTTTTTAAAGAAAAGATTTCACACATTTGAAAGTGGGTTTTGAACAGAGTAAGATTCAAGGAGAATGTCCTTACACCCCCCCCCCCCCCCCCCCCCCAAAAGAATCATTTAGTTGGTATTTCAACTTAACTGTCCCCTTAATTGTTGAATCTGAAACTACCTTCAGCAATGTCATCTTTCCATCATCCCATGTGTAACCTATTTCTTGTGTCCCTTTGTCCCTCCAGAGCTCCCCCAGCAACATGTCTGTCAGGAGGCCGAGGTTCTCGCTGACCAGCAGCTCTGGAACCAGGAGAGGAACTCCAGGCTGGACCAGGACGACCCAGAACCACTACAGATTAAAGAGGAACAGGAGGAAATCTGCACCAGTCAGGAGGGAGAGCAGCTTGTACTGAAGCTTGAGACTGATACCTTAATGTTGACTCCTGATCATGAGGAAAGTGATCACAGTGAACCAGAAAGTAACCACCAGCTCCTCTCTCACACCTCTCCTGTAGCCGAGAGCCAAGATCAGACAGGAAGTCAACATGTGGTCTCAGGCTCAACTACCGATGCAGACTCAAAACCACATGAGAGACATTACAAAACCAAGAGTCACAGTGACAATGAATACAACTCTCCCATGTCAAAGACTGAGTCTAAAACTCACAAACGTGAAAAGTCTTTCAAATGTGACACTTGTGGAAAAGCATTTGATTATAGGTACAAATTGAACAAACATATAAAAATCCACACAGGTGAGAAACCGTGTTTGTGCAAAACATGTGGGAAGAGTTTCAGAAGTAGAACAGGTTTTTTTAAACACATAAGAACTCACACGGGTGAGCTCCCTTACCCCTGCAGCAACTGTGGGAAAAGATTTATTGATATGTTAACACTGGAAAAGCATATGACAACTCACACAGGTGAGAGGCCATATTCTTGTGAAACATGTGGTAAAAGTTTTGTACGTAGTACTGTCTTGAAGGTCCACGTTAGAACTCACACAGGTGAGAAGCCATTTTGTTGTGAAACCTGTGGGAAAAGATTTAGTGACAGTTCATCATATAAAATTCATATGAGAATGCATACAGGTGAGAAGCCATATTCTTGTGAAACATGTGGGAAAGGGTTTGTATCTAGTGGTGACTTGAAAGTCCACATAAGAACTCATACAGGTGAGAAGCCGTACCCCTGCAACACCTGTGGGAAAAGATGTATTGACAAGTCTACGTTGAAAAAACATAAAAGAGTCCACACAGGTGAGAAGCCGCACTCCTGCAACACCTGTGGGAAAAGATTTATTGACAAGTCTGGATTAAAAAGGCATATGACAACTCACACAGGTGAGAAACCATATCCTTGCAAAATATGTGGGAAAAAATTTGTACGTAGCAGTGTCTTGAAAGTCCACCTAAGAACTCATACAGGTGAAAAGCCATATTCTTGTGAAGAATGTGGGAAAAGTTTTGTATGTAGTAGTACCTTGAAAGTCCACATGAGAAGTCACACGGGTGACAGGCCATATACCTGCGGCTCCTGTGGGAAAAGATTTTGTCATTTGTCAGCCTTGAAAAAGCATGCAAGAATTCACACTGGTTAAAAGTTGTACATTTACAAAACACATTGGAGAGCTTTCAGAGATTAAAAAAAAAAAACTTGTTATAATTACCCTGGTCATCATTAAGTGAACTCCAGTCAGTTGCATGTGCTGGTATGAGCAAGCATTCGGAACTTTGGCCAAACACTGATGGTCAGCCTGGGAAAGAAATTCAGCCATGTTATGACACTTGAATAGTGCCAATTTAAGGATTCTACCAGTCTATGTGGAGTTTTGAATGTAATTATTTGAGACTGAGGACAAGTGAGTGGCAGCAACATGCATGAGTGCATGGAAGGAACAATGTACAGGTGGTTGCATGACACCCTGGATTTATATGCTTGAACATGTATGTGGCACAGTATCTTACTTTAACGTATTACATTGCCAACAATAAACTACCTTCATTTTTTCCCTTTCATATGACTGTTATTCATGTTTTTGTTTGCAAGAATATTTCCTCAAAACTTGTAATCTCCAAAATCTTAGGTAAAAAAAATTGACTGCATCTTTCCAACAAATGTAAATGAATGACTTAGTGTGTAAAGGAATGAGGGAAAATAATTTTATTTTTTCAGTTCAATTTATTTGTATAGCGCCAAATCATTTTTGTGATCTCAAGTATTTTTTCTAACAGCAAAGGTGATAATGTAAGAATACAAGTTGAGGGGCGTCGCGTAGCGCAGTGGGCAGGCGCAGGCGCCCCATATATAGAGGCTACAGTCCTCGCTGCAGGTGGCCCCCGGTTCGACTCCTGCTTCGGACCTTCCTTTCCTGTGTGTCATTCCCCCGCTCTCTGCCTCCCCATTTCCTGTCTCTACTGTCCTGTCCATTAAAGGCACAAAAAGCCCAAAAAAAGAAAAAAAAAAGAATACAAGTTGAGCTCATAGGACTTGTAGCTATCCTGTAATACAATCACAACTCCCTTGATTTCTTGAGTTTAAGTGGGGGTAATCACTTCATTGGGTTCATCAGATGGTCTACCATTAGTGTTGCATTGATAAGCCCTTGAGAAATCCAGAGGGTTCAAAGGTGACATTCTGGTGTCCCATGTGTGCCCCCCTCCACTTTTACCCTTTCCCTTTAACTGTACATTAACCAATTGCTTGATCCTTGAGAAAGGCCTTTTTGTATGAAATTTTGTTATATGTTTGGTTTTTCATGACCTAAAGATTTTCTTCCTTTGGCAGTTTACCAATTACCTTTGCACTATATAAGGTTAGTTATGACCCCTCCAGAGAGTTCAATGGCAACATAAGGCATCCTCATTTTGCAACCCTCCACGTTTTGGTTTTTGCTTAAGCTGTAAAATGTAGTAAAGGGAAAATAACCTGAAATCCCTGTTAAATGAAGCGACAGATGGAAAACATCCAAACTACAGGCGGAACTAAAGTTTTACTCGTTTGCATTTCGGGAACTTCACAGTGTGACACCTGGCGGAAGTAAACAAAGGAAGCGCTAGCAGCGTTAGCTCTGTGGATGTGTGATGTTAGCTTGAAGACGGTGGTGTGGTCGTATCTCAGCTAAATATTCCAGCTGTAACGAAGCAGCGATGTCTTCTCTTCAGTATCTGAGAGAGTTCGTCAACGAGCGACTAACTGCTGCTGCTGAAGAAATATTCGGAGTCTTTGAAAAAACCGTCGTCCAGTACGAGGAAGAGGTCGGTCGTCAGCGCAGACTGCTGGATATCGTTTTAAAACCTCAAGTAAAGTTACACAGGACAGGTGTGTTGATAAATTTCAAACCACAAATTATTATGTTTTGGTAAAACTGTTGCTGCTGAATCACCATATTTCTTTATTCACAAAAAGAACAAAGGCTCCACAAATCTGAAATGATTTTATACAGTCTTTCCACTTAATGAAGTGTTGTTATATTGACCTTGATTTTAAATAAATGATTTCACACATTTGAAACTGGGTTTTGAACAGAGTGAAATTCAAGGATAATGTCCTTACACTACAATATGTGATGCAAAAAACAGAATCAAGAATCATTCAGTTGGTATTTCAACTGAACTTTCCCCTTAATTGTCAAATCTGAAACTAACTTCAACATTGTAATTTTTTCATATTTTTTGTGTCCCTTTGTCCCTCCAGAGCTCCCACAGCAACATGTCTGTCAGGAGGAGGAGGTTCTCAGTGACCAGCAGCTCTGGAACCAGGAGACGAACTCCAGTCTGGACCAGGACGACCCAGAACCACCAAAGGTTAAAGAGGAACAGGAGGAAATCTGCAGCAGTCAGGAGGGAGAGCAGCTTGTACTGAAGCTGGAGACTGATACCTTTATGTTGACTCCTGATCATGAGGAAAGTGACCATAGTGAACCAGAACCAGACAGTGACCACCAGCTCCTCTCTCACACCTCTCCTGTAGCTGAGAGCCAAGATCAGACAGGAAGTCAACATGTGGACTCAAGATTAACTAGAGATGCAGAGTCAAAGCCACAGGAGAGACATCAAAAAAACAGGAGAAACAATGAGTACAACTCTCCTATGTCAAAGACTGACTCTAAAACTCACACATGTGAAAAGTCTTTCAAATGTGACACTTGTGGAAAAGCTTTTCAGTATAAATCCAGATTGAATAAACATATGAAAATCCACACAGTTGAGAAACTGTATTTGTGCAAAACATGTGGGAAGAGTCTCTGCAGTAGAGCAGGCTTTTTGAACCACACAAGAACTCACACGGATGAGATTCCCTACCCCTGCAGCACCTGTGGAAAAAGATTTATTGCTATGTCAACATTGAAAAGGCATATGACAACTCACACAGGTGAGAGGCCATATTCTTGCAAAATATGTGGTAAAAGTTTTGTACGTAGTACTGTCTTGAAGGTCCACGTAAGAACTCACACAGGTGAGAAGCCATTTTGTTGTGAAACCTGTGGGAAAAGATTTAGTGACAGTTCATCATATAAAATTCATATGAGAATGCATACAGGTGAGAAGCCATATTCTTGTGAAACATGTGGGAAAAGTTTTGTATTTAGTGGTGATTTGAAAGTCCACATAAGAATTCACACAGGTGAGAAACCGTACCCCTGTAACACCTGTGGGAAAAGGTTTCGAGACAAATCTGCCCTGAAAAAACATATGACAACTCACACAGGTGAGAAGCCATATTCTTGCAAAATATGTGGGAAAAATTTTGTACGTAGCAGTGTCTTGAAAGTCCACCTAAGAACTCACACAGGCGAGAAGCCGTATTCTTGTGAAGCATGTGGGAAAAGTTTTGTATGTAGTAGTATTTTGAAAGTCCACATAAGAACTCACACAGGTGAGAAGCCATACACCTGCAGCACCTGTGGAAAAAGATTTTGTCAGTCATCAGACTTGAAAAAGCATACAAGACTTCATACAGTTTAAAAGTTTTATATTTACAAAACACAGTGAAAAGCTTTGTTAGTTGTTAAAAGTGATATATGTATATATGTATGTATATTTTTGTCAGAGAATTTTATACAGGTGAAACCATACAGATGAAACTTTAGCATTGAAAAGTTCAGCAACTGAATGAACCACACTTATTGTAGAAGTTACATCTCTGTAATTGAATGTTTACAATTTCCAATTAAGAAGAGGTGACAGAATCTTACTTTAATATAGAACATTGCCAACAGTGGCACCATGTTTTGTTCAACTACCTTCATTTTTTCCCCTTTATATGACTATTATTAATGTTTTCGTTTACATGAGTATTTCCTCCAAACTTGTAGTCTCCCAAATCTTGGAAAATAAATTGTGAGTGCATTTTTCCTACAAATGTAAATGATTGACTTTTTAAAGGATTTTATTTATTTATATTCTTTATTTCACTATTTTATAAATTACCTCCATTATATGAGTGTTTGGTCAGCTCTCTGATGTTGAAACTGAGAGATTCTCTACTGCTGTTGGGTCACTTTATGTTATCATCCTGCCTATTTTTGGTCTAGGAACATGTCCTTTAGATTTATATTTTTCTTCAATTTTGATTTCATCAACTTTATACATTTTAATAATAATAATAATAATACATTTTATTTGGCAGTGCCTTTCACAGCACTCAATGACACTTTACAGAAGATTAAAAACACAATAAAAATAATAAAAACAACAGACAGTTAAAAAGAAAACAATGAAATTACAGCGAATATGCAGATTGAAACAGATGAGTTTTGAGTCTTGATTTGAATTGAAACAATGTTACGGATGTCTGGTGGGAGAGAGTCCCAGAGTTGGGGAGCAGAGTGGCTGAAATGTGAAACACAAACAAGTTGTACAAGATGTTCTACATGGTTCTATAAAAGGTGCTATATAAATAAACTTTCTTACTTTTGTGACAGGCTGGCTGGCTATTTGTACAGGACCAAATCATTTGAGCTCATAGGACTTGTAATTATCCCTTATTACAATCACAACTCCCTTGATTTCTTGAGTTTAAGTGGGGGTAATCACTTAATTGGGTTCATCAGATGGTCAACCTCCATCATCAGTGTTGCATTGATAAGCCCACAACACATCCAGAGGGTTCAAAGGTGACATTCTGGCATCCCAGGTGTGCCCTCCTCCACCTTTTCCCCTTCCTCTTAACTGTAAGTTAACCAATTATTTGATCCTTGAGAGAGGCCTTTTTTTGTATCTTTTAAAAATATTTTTTTGGACATTGTTTACTTGTAACCATCCCCTACAACAATCACAACTCCCTTAGTCTCTTGACTGGCTGTTCTAGTACTCCCTTGCTATACAAGCTGATACTGCTGAGGTCTCCAAGCCACTTCTTTATGTAGGAGCTGATTATTCTCTTGAGCTTCTCAACCATGGTGAACGGACTCTTGTAGGCTGTCAGAGGCCAAATCAGAATTAGAAGCAGTCCAAAATGCAGGCATTGCAGTTTCAGCTTGCCAGAGTTTAAGGTCTCTTGTCTATGCTGGCCTGACAATTTACAATTTCTGAGTTGAGTTATACTGCTCCTGGACAAAATAAAATATGCTGTGCGATACTTCAACACTTACCTGATAATATGTTAAATGTTATTTTAGATTTGTTCATCAAGATCTGGAACAGAGGAAAACTCCCTAGTGGGTGGAAAAGTTGATACTTCCTTTTGTTAAACCAGGTAAGTATCCAGCTAATGCAGATAACTATAGACCTATAGGTTTTACATCACATTTATGTAAATAAGATTATTCGAAAAGCCTAGACAACTTATTAGAGCGTTAAGGATTGCTAAGTGGATTCTGTAGAGGTACACTATAAAAAAATCCTAATTTTACAGAAAATAACTAATTTTTCTAACAGTAATTTTCTGTTTTTTTTAAATTGTGAACAAAAGTCTATAAAATTACAGAAACAAAATTACAGCCAAACTTCTATTTTAAGCATTATGCCAATAATAATGAATTACATTTATTTCCCATTTTTGTAAAGACAAATTACTGAATTATTTCTACAGTATTTTTTCTGCTTTCTTAAATTACATACAAATCATGTAAAATGACAGTAATTATCTGTAATTAAAAATGTTATTATAAAGGTTAATGTCCATATGAACAATTTAAAGATCTTCTCTGTAATTTCAGGGTAAATCTTATTAGTTTTACATTTATGTGACTTCTACATTCAAACTTTGTAATTCTGGATGAAATGTAGCAAACTTTTTTTCATTACATTAAACATTCAAACAAAAAAGTTTGAAGTACTGGAATGTATCCCAGCATGCACTGGAAGGAACGCAGGAAAATGGTTTATGAGAGGGTGGAGCTGGGGAGGAGGGAGGGGTGGATCTGACCTGTGTCTTCCAGGACACCAAGTACACCCACCCGCATTGGCAACCTGACAGCAACAGGCTCCTGGCTGAGCTGTGCGAAGATGCTGCTAACACGGTTAGCTCTCACAACTGTTACATTAGTCTTACAGGCTGATTACATACATCCAACATCCATTTGGCAAATATATATGTGAGGAGTAACTTGTAATGTTATTGTAGCTGAAGTTAGCATGTGTGCTAATGTTGAACTGTAAAACCACAGTGTAAAACGTTTTCTAACACTAGGACTGATGATGAATAACGGCTCCTGGACTTTTTGTACCTTCCCTCCATCACATATGGAGTTGATTGTAAATCATACACTACAGTATTTAATTAATCCATTTATTATTCTTTTATACATGTTTCCAGTGTTGTAAATTGTTTCAATTCATGTCGTTTATAATGTCCAATAAAGTTATTTATGAAGCTCTTGCTTTAACTTTGTTGATGGTTTTTTGATGGTTTTTATAGAACACATCTGGTATGACTCTTCACAATAGTAACATGTACAGCATTGTGTGACTATTTCTGTGTTAGCTTTAATCAACAACATAAATACTAGAAATATTTAAATGTTGTCCAACACTGACAGTGAAGGATCAAGAAACATGCTGATGTTAATTGGTAAATACTTTCACCTGTGGAGGTGGTGACAGTGCTAGAGATGATCCATCACTTAATCACTGTTTAATATTTATAAATTCTGATCTTAAAAGTGTTGCTACCATCACCTGTCAACAACAGCAGAAAGAAAGTTGCAGGTAAGAAACTGAACCTGTGAATACTGAAGACAATAATAAACAAACTCATCAGCAGTTGGTCTGTCATTTCATCAGAGGAAGCTGAACTGGGAGAGGTTTTCTACCATCATCATCATCACAGCACATTAGAGAACTAAGGATGTCCATGCAGTCTCCCTTCTCCACAACCAGATGACTGGAAACAACTGGGCTGCTCTGTACATGAGGTCCTCCGTCATAGGTGCTATCTTCATCTCTAATGTGGTGTTCCTTAACTAGTTATGAAATAAGTACAATAAAGTAATTTGATAAACATGACCTACTCTGTCTCTTTCCAGTCTGCTGAGATCAAGAACTGCCGGGTAAGATGCTGTGATGCATTGTGGGGTTTTTAGTATCAACAACCTCAGGCCTTCCTTCAGCCTTGCAGGTAGCACTCTTCCAAACACACATATTTACACCTGATATAAACAGATTTATTTCCTCACTGGTGTTAAATATCTCTGGTTTGATCTGAAGTGAATGTGAACATTGATGTGTGTAGGGCAGATGGCCGTCACTGTACTAGAACCCTCCCCAAGAAGTATGGTGTGTAGTTACTGATCTCAATAGCATGGAAGTTATTTGTAAGAAGCATGTCAAATATTCAAAGGTAACAGTTCTGAGATATAACTGGATATTTTTTGGTGTGTCCAACTGTATTTAACACGGCCAAGGACCCACAGCAGTACATCACCTGTGAGATCATGATAAAGCTGAAGAACCAGGAGTGACAATATATCACCAGGTGGTGGGGAACAGAATGAAGTGCTTCTGGTTTCAAAGCACCGTCCTCCAGCATTTAAGAAATGGAAGGTCTTTAGTTTGGTTTTAAAAGAACACATTGATGGGGCAAGTCTAAGATCAGCAGGTAAACTGTTTCAGGTGCATAGATGCTAAAAGCATCTCACTACACTTTGAAAATGTTCTAGGCACATGGAGATTTCTAGCATGTGATCTGCTGGGATTGTAAACTAACAGCATGTCTGAGATGTTCTGTGAAGCCAGACCAGCAGGTGCTTTGTGACCAAGAGGAGGATTGTTTAAATTGTATTCTGAACACAACAAGTAGCCAGGGAAAGTTTCAGAGAAGAGAGTTATGTGGTCAGATTTTTGGCTGGACCGCAGCAGTATTGACGCTGACTGACTGACTGACTGACTGACTGACTGATCGAGTTGAGTTTTACTGTTAAACCTTCGGTCAGCTGAAGGCCATTTGACGTGAGTCATGAAGTTACACCATTGGTCTGTTGACTTGTTTTTACTGGTCTAGACTCCAGGTATTCACAGATCAGAGGTCTCTGTTTTCTCCTGTTCAGCTGAATGAAGTTTCATGTCGTCTACTGCTTCATTTTTTCCAAGCAGCTGACTAGGGAGTGTATGAGACTATCTTTCACTGGCGTAAAGCGCAACTCAAGTGTTTTTGCTAGTTTCAGACTGATGCATTTTTCCATCCAGCGCACACATTGTTTAAATAGCCAGTTGTTTAAATTGACCAACAGAAACCTGGTCTTCAGTAAATGGCACAATATTTCTCCATTATTTTAAGGGCACATTGTCAGTATGCTCCTGAATAGGTGGGTGCACAGCGTGTCTGTTTAACACAAGCAGAGTTCTGAAGATGAGCTTCAGGTGTTTGATGTTTAGTCCGGTGGAACATTAGAAAGCAGCCACAGAAGGTCAGAGCATTCTTTGTCGGTACAGATCATTTAAATAACATTTGTACTTGTACTTTAATTTGCTTTATTAAAGTAATGGTAACAAAAAATAATTAAATCATACTTTTTAAGGACTTGACAGTGAATCTTAGTGTCTCCTGTTATTTCTTTTCTCCCCAGATGCTCCAAGGATCCAGCTGATTACTGGCAGTTTGAAGGTGGATTTTTCTTCATCTGCTCCGTTGCACCGTCACTTCTGGTAAAGATTCATAACCTTTGTGGTATGTTTTGATTTGACTTATTAATACACTGTATAGTTGGGATTCTGACATAAAAGATAGTATAATGTTTGTCCACATATGTTGTAAGAACTATATGGAGAATACTGTGGAAAACAAGATAAAACTGAATTGGAAGATACAAGCTAAAAAACAACAGACCACCCCCCCTCAGCCCCACAGCCCCCCCTCTTTCAGAGGTGACATCATCACCTCCTCATTATAGGAACCTTAACAGGCAAGATAGACCAATGGAGAAATGCCAGTTTTAGTTCTTCAGATCATCCCGGGGCTCTGAAGAACTATTTGTGAATAATTGGTTGATATTGTAAATTTACATCTGAATATATTAAATAAAAGTGTTATAAAGTCAATAGTGGTGCGTATGTTATTTGTAATTAAGTTTCCAACCCCACTTTAGTTGAAAGACTACATACAGAGAGTTAACAGTTTCATTTGCATATATCAGTATATTATATCTTATGAGAAATGTAAGAAAATTTATGTGAATCTGAATCAGTAAATATTGTATTTAGATTGTGCTTCTACAGGTTTTAACATTACTTTACACTTAAAGATTCAATGTTGACACAAATACTGCAAGTTGAAGTTTGAAATGATTTTAATCTGTTTTACACAGTATCTTTTACTTTTTCTTCCAAAACAAAAGGTTTACTTTACAATATTAAGCATTTGTTAATATTTCATTGATTGACACTTAATTTTATTATTTCTCTGCAGAAACTTTAGTGGCCTCACTTTATTGATGGTGTTTGATCTTAACAAATTAGGAGAAATCTGTAAAATAACAAATTTTCTCTGTAGAAATATTAATGAAACTATCCATAAATGTATTGTTTTTACACTTTATTTGAATTAGGATATTTTACTTTAATTTTACGTTTTTTGTTTGGCACCTACTGCTGCCAGTCATTTGACTGTTTTTTTACGATTTTTTTTTTTTTTACAGTGTAGAACAATAACAGATGCTTTAGTGATGATGAATAATGTTTAAAAAAGCTCTCTACATGAAAGAAGTAACAGCAGTTGTATATTGAAAAGGTATATGACTCTATGTGGAAAAAAGGCTACTACTTTAAAAATCAGCTTGGTATTGGAGGAAAGATGTATAGCTGGATATTTGATTTTCCATGTTGCAGGTGTTGGGGGAAAGTCAAACAAATTTGTGTCAGTGGTGTAACATTCTGGAAGATGTAGAACATATTATCATGCATTGAGCGAAGGAGGCATTAAGAGATATAGTATATGTGACAAGGCAGGAATGCGTTAAAAAAATCACTACAGAGAGTGTTGGTAGGTTATAATATATAAGATGTTAAATATGTTTTTTGTTTGTTTGTTTTTTCATTTTTGTTTTTTTCCTTCTATAGACCAGTCAGTATTCAGATGATATAATACCGTTATTCTATACACTTTGACAAGTATCGACCTTTAAGGTTGATTTGCGATCCACCCATAGAGGAGCTTCCCTGAGTGGCACGCACCGGAAGTAAACAGAGGAAGCGCTAGCAGCGTTATCTCTGTGGATATGTGATGTCAGCTTGAAGACGGTGGTGTGGTCGTATCTCAGCTAAATATTCCAGCTGTAACGAAGCAGCGATGTCTTCTCTTCAGTATCTGAGAGAGTTCGTCAACGAGCGACTAACTGCTGCTGCTGAAGAAATATTCGGAGTCTTTGAAAAAACCGTCGTCCAGTACGAGGAAGAGGTCGGTCGTCAGCGCAGACTGCTGGATATCGTTTGGAAACCTGGAATAAAGTTACACAGGACAGGTGTGTAAAACCACAATGGTCTTAATGAAGACTAGTGATGGTGAGATGAACCTTCATGAAGCACTGAACCAGTCCAGCAAAGGGCTTCGAGAAAAGGTTCCTTTCTTGATGCTTCATGTGAACAGAGCGACCTCTACTGGTCAGAATGTGAAATAGGCAAATTAGTGTTTGTATATTACAAAGTATAAGTATAAGGGAAACCATGATATCTTAATCCTAAGCAAACCTTTCTAGTAATTACTGTAAAAGCAATCAACATATGTGCTTGAAAAAATATATTTCAATAAATATAAAGCATTTATAATAAATGTACTCTTTTATGCTCATACTTTATTGGAAGAGATAAGATCAAAGTGTTGTCAAACTGGAGAAGTCTTAGTTTTCATTGGTGGATCCATCACAAATAACAGTTAATGTCAATCAGTGTTATAAACCGAGGACTATGAAATATATCTCCTCTCATGTCACGGTCGCTCCATAATTTGAAACCGCCACCAGAAGCAGTAATGTGGTACATATGAGAAGCGACGTGATACACGCATGGGTATGTGCTTCACCGGAAAAGCTCAGCTCTATACGAAGCACACTTTGAAGCGTCGATGTCTCGCGTAACATCACCAAGAAATACTAACAAAGGAATGTGGCTCATATTGGACTTATTTCTCTGTGTTTTTTCCACTCAGATACCAAGAGACCAGGTTTAACTTTAACATTTATACTTTATCAAACATCACATCTAGACCACATCGGACCAGGTCCAGATAAAAACCCGCTATACATGACATCGTTTTTTTCAGCTTCATAACATCACTGAAGCCAGCAGCAAAACCTTGATAGGTACCCCTTCACTTCACAATAAAAGCACATCCTCTATACAGTACATAGTAATAGAGTCATTATCATTAGCAGGTTACACGTTTTATTACATATTACATTGTAAGGTAAAAAAGTGTAGTACATTTATCAGTGTGTGTTTGTGTGTTAAAGAGGCACTTAGCTAAGATTCTGTGCACTTTTTTGTACAGTTCTTCTCAGTTGTCAAATTCTGTGAAACTGGCACCACAGTGCAGTGTATAAATACACGATTCCTGCTTTTTCGTGTTGTTTTTCATTTTCACTTAGATATTGTAATTCAATAAATGGAGTATTGCAGAAGCGCTATGTCATGATACCATCATTATCGTGGGCAACATAACATGAGTTACTCTGTGATTCCCATCCCTAGCTTGTACACTGCATGACTGATCAGCGATGGAAGGGCTCAAATGATAAGATCCCTCACCAGGAGGGATCTCCAACAATGTTCTGTCACCAAAACACATGTGAGACGTGGTAAAGGAAATGATGTGAGACTATTCGCAACATTTAAAAAAAACTTTTATTGAGAAACATTTTTTGAACAATACCTTTTGTAAACATAAGTCTTTGTGGGAATGTTGTAAAATATACACAAGAAGTTTGAAAATAAAAAAAACGATTTTAGATTCCATTTCAGAAAGAAGCAAAAAGAGAGAAAGAAGAGTCTAAAAATAAAAATTACACACACATGAACCTACGCAACAGGTTTACTTAATTGGCTAATATTAAGGAGTTTTTGGATAAATTAATTGTTTTGTTAAATTTGTGAGATATAGAATGAAAGAGAGAATATATGCTTAGATCTAATTGTTTAAATTTAATATTAGATATTAACTTCTTCAGGAATTTCATTTTTAGATGAAAAATGTGGTGAAAATAAGGAGCAAATTAATGAAATATTGATCATTGCTGCAAAAATTAGGATTTTTAAATATTAATAACAAATCATGTTCTTTAAGTGAAGTTTAATCTCCTAAATATGTTTTAAAAAACCACTTCAGTACAAGTTGCAGTCAGTCACACAATGACTGCAAGTAATGGAATTTATTATGTAATGTGTATGTAAGATTTTAAATAAAGTTTCTTAAATAAAGGCGTTTTGTTTTAGATTACACACATTAGTAGAGAAGAGTAAACGCAACATTACATGTTCTACCATTAAGACCTTGGTCCAAACATTTATCTATATTTTATTTATATTTGTGACATACAAGTCCTCCCCTAACACTATTCACACAACTGGATAGGTACTCCTTGACAAGCCCAGATATTAAGCCTGGTAGATATGTTTTAGGTGTCTATGATGCATCAGCGAGTTTCTTGTGTTGTGTCTTTGAACTGTTCACAAACAGCGATCGGGTGCTGATTTGTATTTGATCGGGAGTTTTTCTCTGCCATCTCCAAAAACTGTTGACGAGTGGAAAATCAGGGCAAGAAATCATGTAGTGTGAACTTAGCATTAATATTGTCACTGAACTTTCCTCTTCATTGTTGAATCTGAAACTAACTTCAGCAAGGTCATTTTTCCATCATCACATGTGTAACCTATTTCTTGTGTCCCTTTGTCCCTCCAGAGCTCCCACAGCAACATGTCTGTCAGGAGGAGGAGGTTCTCAGTGACCAGCACCTCCAGAACCAGGGGAGGAACTCCAGTCTGGACCAGGACGACCCAGAACCACCAAAGGTTAAAGAGGAACAGGAGGAAACCTGCACCAGTCAGGAGGGAGAGCAGCTTGTACTGAAGCTGGAGACTGATACCTTTGTGTTGACTCCTGATCATGAGGAAAGTGACCACAGTGAACCAGAACCAGACAGTGACCACCAGCTCCTCTCTCACACCTCTCCTGTAGCTGAGAGCCAAGATCAGACAGGAAGTCAACATGTGGACTCAAGATTAAATACAGATTCAGAGTCAGAGACTGACTCTAAAACTCACACATGTGAAAAGTCTTTCAAATGTGACACTTGTGGAAAAGCGTTTCAGTATAGGTCTGGATTAAAAAAACATGTGCGTATCCACACAGGTGAGAAACCATTTTCTTGCAAATTATGTGAGAAAGTTTTCAGATGGAGAAGTGGCTTGTTGATCCACATGAGAATCCACACAGGTGAGAAACCATATATTTGCAACACCTGTGGGAAAGGTTTCAGATGTAGAAGTTACTTGTCGACCCACATGAGAATCCACACAGGTGAGAAACCATATATTTGCAAAACCTGTGGGAAGAGTCTCAGGACTAGAACAGGATTGTCGATCCACATGAGAACTCACACAGGTGAGAAGCCATTTTCTTGCAAAATATGTGGGAAAAGTTTTGTACGAAGTGGTGTTTTGAAAGTCCACAGTAGAGCTCATACAGGTGAGAAGCCATATACTTGCAAAATATGTGGGAAATGTTTTGTACGTAGCAGTGTCTTGAAAGTTCACATAAGAAGTCACACAGGTGAGAAACCATATTATTGTGAAACCTGTGGGAAAAGTTTTGTATGTAATGGTGTCTTGAAAATTCACATAAGAAGTCACACAGGTGAGCGTCCTTATTCTTGCAAAACATGTAACAAAGGTTTCAGATACAAAAGTGACTTGTTGGCCCACATGAGAACCCACACAGGTGAGAAGCCACATATTTGCGACACCTGTGGGAAAGTTTTCAAATCTAGAAGTGAATTGTTGGACCATATGAGAACTCACACAGGTGAGAAGCCATATTCATGCAAAACATGTGGGAAGAGTCTCAAAACTAGAGCAGGTTTATTGATCCACATTAGAACTCACACAGGTGAGAAGCCATTTTCTTGCGAAATATGTGGGAAAAGTTTTGTATGTAGTAGTGACTTGAAAGTTCATGTAAGAACTCACACAGGTGAGAGGCCATACTCCTGCAACATCTGTGGGAAAGGATTTATTGCCATGTCCGCATTGAAAAGACATTTGAGAAGTCACACAGGTGAGAAGCTGTACCCCTGCAACACCTGAGGGAAGAGATACTTTCATGTGTCTCAGGTGGGGAGGCAGATATGATCACATACAGGCAAGTAGATTATTTAGTTGTAGTTGTTCATGGACAAGACACGCAGGAGGTGACAGAAGTGAAGGGCCACATATTTGTAGCTGATATGGCAAAAAAAAATTCAGAGACTCAGTTTACACAGGAGAAACCTTAAAGATGAAACTTGAGTAGAGTTCAACTTCATAAAACACACTCTCAATAGCTACATCTCTGAAATTGAGATTACACTGCAGCCACCTTGTGGTGGGAAATGGTTTAGCAGCAATTGGAGTCATAATCAAAGCCCTATATTGTAAATTTCATTCAGCTGGTAATACTGTATATGATACATTTATGGACGGTTTAATGCTATTGATAATTGGATATCGCCCAACCCTACCATCAGGTTTTATTAAACTAGTCTCATCATTTCCCTTCAAATTAATGAATTGCTAATATTTCTGTTGGTAACAGTATTTTAGCAAATTTTAGCAGACTTTGTGAACTCGATGTTAAAGCAGAGAAAGTCTCTTGTACTGTTGGGTTTCTTCTGTTTTCACGCTGCAAACTACACTCTTTTCTTTTTTGTTTTGAACATGTCCTCTTATTTCATATTTTTATGTATCTTTGATTTCATCGTTGGGATACAGTTTATATTATTTCAGGCTTCAATGGTTAAACACCAACGTATGTTGTAGAAGATGTTCTACATGGTTTAAAAAAGGTGATATAAATAAATATGCTTACTTTTGTGAGAGAACTTTGATAACAAGAATATTCTTTTAGTTGTTCTTATTTAGATGATGTTCCCAAATTGATGGGTTGAATGATGGGGTAACTATGAGCATCACCACACTTACTGGTAGCAATGTATACAGTGATCAGTGTATAAGGAATATGGGCAATTCAATGCTGTTTTGCTGATCTTGTGTTTGTTCAAACAATGAAGCTTATTAAGGTGATAATGTAAGAATACCAGATTCACACTGAAGTCTAAAGCTACAAGTAAAACTCTGATCATCACAGCAGCTGACCAGCGTGACTGATCAACGGTGACAGTAGTCGTAGTGAAGAAGAGTTCTTTTCATTGTGTTCAGTTATAACATGGAAGAGGTGTTTCAATGTTGCACCTCATCTGCTGGAGGTTCAGGTAAAATGTGATATGCTAAAGTTTGCTGGTTTGATTAATGTGAGTGCTTAATATTTAACAAGCTTCTTTACAGTAATGATATGTAACTCAGTACATTTACTCAAGTACTCTACCTAAGTAAGATGGAATCTAAATAACACAGATCTTAATCCTTAAACACTAAAGTTTAAAAGAAAATAAATCAATAATTGTATCTTAAATCTAAATTACTATATTTAATAGGCACATATGTTGCTCCAGTAAAGTTTATTTGACAGCTGCAGCGACTTTGCTGTATAAATTTGACCTTAGATTTAATACCATACCCAACTAATTCACATTTAATTCTACTATGACTGTTTGGTTCTTAATCACACTCAATAGCTCAAGAACCTTCTGCTGCAACTGAAGAAAGTGACGGAAAAATTGAGCTACCTTGTTTTATTCTCCCGTTCCCTTTGTCACAAAGTGAAGAGCGGAAAATTAAGCTGCCTCACTCGCACTGCCGGAACTTCACAGTGTGACACCTGGCGGAAGTAAACAGAGGAAGCGCTAGCAGCGTTATCTCTGTGGATATGTGATGTCAGCTTGAAGACGGTGGTGTGGTCGTATCTCAGCTAAATATTCCAGCTGTAACGAAGCAGCGATGTCTTCTCTTCAGTATCTGAGAGAGTTCGTCAACGAGCGACTAACTGCTGCTGCTGAAGAAATATTCGGAGTCTTTGAAAAAACCGTCGTCCAGTACGAGGAAGAGGTCGGTCGTCAGCGCAGACTGCTGGATATCGTTTTAAAACCTCAAGTAAAGTTACGCAGGACAGGTGTGTAAAACCACGATGGTCGTAATAAATACTAACAATGGAATGAGGCTTATATTGGACTTATTTCACTGTTTATTTCTCCGGTGTTCACATTATCACAGACAGAGGTCATTCAGTGTGCTTAACAGAAGAAAGAGAAGCATAGAAATAGAAGTATAAAGCATAAAAAGAAAACAATTATCAGACAAATCATCACTTATTATTGTAACTGAACTTTCCTCTTCAATTTCGAATCTGAAACTAACTTCAGCAAGGTAATTTTTCCATCATCACATCAGTAACCTATTTCTTGTGTCCCTTTGTCCCTCCAGAGCTCCCACAGCAACATGTCTGTCAGGAGGAGGAGGTTCTCAGTGACCAGCACCTCCAGAACCAGGGGAGGAACTCCAGTCTGGACCAGGACGACCCAGAACCACCAAAGGTTAAAGAGGAACAGGAGGAAATCTGCAGCAGTCAGGAGGGAGAGCAGCTTGTACTGAAGCTGGAGACTGATACCTTTGTGTTGACTCCTGATCATGAGGAAAGTGACCACAGTGAACCAGAACCAGACAGTGACCACCAGCTCCTCTCTCACACCTCTCCTGTAGCTGAGAGCCAAGATCAGACAGGAAGTCAACATATGGACTCAGGATCAACTACAGATTCAGAGTCAAAGACTGATTCTAAAACTCACACAGGTGAAAAGTCTTTCAAATGTGACACTTGTGGAAAAGCGTTTCAGTATAGGTCTGGATTAAATAAACATGTGAAAATCCACACAGGTGAGAAACCATTTTCTTGTCAAACATGTGATAAAGGTTTCAGGTGGAAAAGTGACCTGTTGATTCACATGAGAATCCACACAGGTGAGAAACCATATATTTGCAACACTTGTGAGAAAGGTTTCAGGTGTCGCAGTGAATTGTTGGACCATATGATTACACACACAGATGAGAAACCATATCTGTGCAAAACCTGTGGGAAAAGTCTAAGAACTAGAGCGGGATTGTTGATCCACATGAGAACTCACACAGGTGAGAAGCCGTATCCATGCCAAACTTGTGAGAGAAGTCTTGGAACTAGAACAGGCTTGATTATCCATATGAGAACTCACTCAGGTGAGAAGCCGTACCCCTGCAACACCTGTGAGAAAAGTTTTAGTTACACCTCAGCATTGAAGAAACATATGAGAGTGCACACAGGTGAGAAGTCATATTATTGTGAAACATGTGGGAAATGTTTTGCATATACTAGAGTCTTGAAATCCCACATAAGAACTCACACTGGTGAGAAACCAATTTCCGGCAAAACCTGAGGTAAAACGTACTTTGATGTGTCTCAGTAGGATGTACAGGCAAGTAGCCTTGTGTTTGTAAATATGTGGGGGAGCAATCAGATGTAGTAGTTCATGTACAAAACACACAGGAACTAATTTAATTGAAGAGCCACATTTTTGTGAGATTACACAGGAGAAACCATACAAATGATCCTTGAGTGGAGGAGAGTTCAGCAATTATAAAAACACAGTTTTGCAATACCTACATCTCTATTTTCTATTGAGAAGAAGTCAGTCTCAGTTTAATGTAGCACATTGCCATGAGTAATATCACATTTTGTTAACCTGCCTTGACTTATCCCTTAATAAAACTGCTTTACTCATGTTTCTGTTTGTAACAGTATCTGAAACTTGTATTGTAATCTCACAGAAAAACAACTCTGTGAGTGCATTCTTCCTACAAATGTGAATGACAGACCTCTTAGATGAGATTTACTTCAGTATTTTAGTTACATCACTAGTTTGAACTGTATGCTGAACCAACATAAGTCTTTTTCTAAATGAAAGGGGCTGTGTAAATAAACTTAATGACTTTTTTGACAACAAGAATACTTGTTCAATGCTGATGTTCCCAAATTGATAGATTGAATGATTAGGGTAACTATGAGCATCATCACTTGAAGTGGTAGCAATATATGCAGTGAGAAAGTGTGTCCAAACTTTTGACTGGTAATGTTCAGGGATCAGTGCATAATGGAATGTATCACATCATATTAAACTAGATTAAAAGGATCAGTGAGAGGGCAAATGCTTACAATATTATTATCAGTGCAGTGGATAGAAGATCACAGAGAGCAGTCATTTGTTGAGACTCAAGCTCATCACTAACCAGTTGCCAGTACAGTCACTCACAGCATACCAGATAGTTTGGTAGAAGTTCAACAAAAATAAACAATTCAAATGATTCGTCTTACAGTAATATTCCTATGGGAACCAGCACATATTGGTTTAAAAGAATAAGGTTGCAAAGGAGGCCACAAAATATGATAACATTTACTTGACAATTAGCTTCAGCAGAACAGTAATCAGGAGCATTATAAAGCAGAGGTCAAAGGAAAGTTGGCAAAAGCAATAAGATGAAGAGAGGAACAGACAGTAGTTTTACAGAGGGGACAGTGGGAGAAATTAGGTGCCCAGGAAGATAATGTAACAAGATTCAATATGGACACACTGAATTAAAAATAAGTAAACATAATACAGGCAGATATGACTACTGTGGACGAGAAGAAAAAGCAGATCATGTACACTGTCAGAGATGAAAGGCAGAAAGACAGCATTTGATTTGAGCCCTCAGAAAGATAAAGCATCTTTAGAAGATCATTATTCCTATTTCAGCCTTTTTTCTTTTTTGAAATTTGTTGTAGACATTCAAATCCACATTCTACACCATTTGGTGGCGGTGATGCACCAATACGTTGTTTACCACCCGCCAATAAACCTCAAAGAAGAAGAAGAAGCGGAGACAACGAAAGGTTTACTCGCTCGCACTGACGGAACTTCATAGTGTGACACCCACCGGAAGTAAACAGAGGAAGCGCTAGCAGCGTTATCTCTGTGGATATGTGATGTCAGCTTGAAGACGGTGGTTTGGTCGTATCTCAGCTAAATATTCCAGCTGTAACGAAGCAGCGATGTCTTCTCTTCTGAATCTGAGAGAGTTCGTCAACGAGCGACTATCCGCTGCTGCTGAAGAAATATTCGGAGTCTTTGAAAAAACCGTCGTCCAGTACGAGGAAGAGGTCGGTCGTCAGCGCAGACTGCTGGATATCGTTTTAAAACCTCAAGTAAAGTTACGCAGGACAGGTGTGTAAAACCACTAAATACTAACAAATGAATTTGACTTATATTGGACTTACTTCGCTGTGTTTTCTCCAGATAACAGTGCATTTCCAACGTGACACAAGATAAACAATGAATTTAATTGTTATTGTCATCATTTAAAATTCAGAAATGGTTTAATACCAAATTACAAAGTTGTCCCATGGACCTGGTCAGATGTGCTCTGGATGAGGGTACAAAAAAAGCATTTTTTTTGTGTTTTTTCACAATTCATCCATCCATTTTCTGCTGCTTATCCATAGTCGGGTAGCGATGGCAGCAGGTGGAGCAAGGTAGTCCTGAGGCCTGTACTACGAGGCAAGTTCAACATACCCAGGATAACCTTTATTTATCTGGCTTGACTGAACCTAACATTGACCGTCCTGATCACCTGTACCACGAAGCAGGTTATCACCTGGCTCAGTTAACCCTGGGTTTACCTGTCCGGCTACGAGCGCGTTCACGTGAAAAAGGCGGACTTGTTAATTATAAGCAACATCGTCTGAACCATGAAAGAAGTTCTTAATATGAGAATAAAACGCTGATAATTGCCGGTAAATTCAGTTATAGCAACGTCCAACAGTGACATTCAACGAGGTGAAATGTAACAATACGATCACATGACTGGAATAAAAATATTATTTCCATGTCTAAATATAATTTCTGTTAAAGTCAGACTAAAGATATATTGTAATAAGTGAATTAATTATCTTCATGTATAATTTTCACTCTTCAGTCTGATGATGAACAAACTGTTCTGAACATGTGATGCAGAGAAAACAGTTAAAGTCAATGTCAGACTGTTTCTGCTGCAGAGGAGAGGAAGAGGAGAGGAGAGGAAGAGGAGAGGAGAGGAAGAAAAGAGGAGAGGAGTTGTTGATGTCTGATGAGTCAGTTTGACTGAAATGTTCATTCTAATGATGAAATAATTAACAGTGTGTTGCTAATTGTTCTAATCAAAGACATCAGAGGTTCAGGTTTCTCTCCAGTCGTGTCACAGAGTCTCCTCATGTTGTTCTGAGCTCAGTGATGAAGAAGAGAGTAAAACCTTCATCACTGGCAGGAATCCTCCATTAAAGAATCTGTGTTCAATGAAAATGAAGCTCTAATAGTGATTATATAGGCTATTTATTTATCCTGATAAACGTTCTGTGCATTTTTTAGAAGTTTTGTTTTAAAACCAAAGTGACACATGGAAAGACTCAAACAGGAAAACTATTCCACAGATTTTATATATGTTATATCTACAGCTCGTTATTATTGATCACTTTATTGTAAACTGTTTTGTCCCTGTCAGGATCCTGTAGGAATGATCACTCAGTGTTTCCAGTGATCTGATTGGTCAGTAGTTTGGCTGTTGACAGGTTTTGATCTGATCCTCTAAGTTAACCTGCGCCTGAGCAGGTCAGGAGTTCAGCTTAAGTTACCAAGGTGATTTACCCCGGTGACACGTGAACTACCGTCGTAGGACTGAAAACCCAGAGTTAAACCTGAAGTTACCTTGATAACCTCAGATCCTGCTTTGTAGTGCGGGCCTCTGGAGTGTCTCCTCCTGGGGGACCCTGAGGTGTTCCCAGGCCAGATGAGATGTAAATGTTCTAGCATGTTCTGGGTTTAGCCTCTGGGTCCTCTTACCAGCTTTCACAGACTGAATAAAAATTTTTGCAATGTGAAAATATCTTTAAACATTTACTGGAATGTATATGTTAATCAAGTTTAGGTCTTATAATTATAAAAGTAGGTGTTTTTAAGCTAGACATGGTCTAATATTGGAGAAAACTCAATTAAAATACCCTTTTTGTCGTTGCTGTCATAGATAAAATAAAGATTTCCAAATTTGAAAGTGGGTTTCAAGCATTTGGAAAGATTCAAAGAGAATGTCCTTACACAACATGTGGTGAAAAAGACAGATCATCATTCATTTATTGTAACTTAACTTTTCCTTTAATTGTCAAATCTGGAGCTAACTTGAGCATTGCCATTTTCCCATCATCACATGTGTGACCTCTTTCTTGTGTCCCTTTGTCCCAGAGCTCCCACAGCAACATGTCTGTCAGGGGGAGGAGGACGAGGAGATTCTCACTGACCAGCAGCTCTGTGACCAGGAGAGGAACTTCAGCATGGACGAGGAGGACCCAGAACCACTACAGATTAAAGAGGAACAGGAGGAAATCTACACCAGTCAGGAGGGAGAGCAGCTTGTACTGAAGCAGGAGACTGATACCTTTATGTGGACTCACAGTAACAATGAATACAACTTTCCTATCTCAAAGCCTGACTCTAAAACTCACACCGGTGAAAAGCCTTTCAAATGTGATACTTGTGGAAAAATGTTTAAGTATAAGTGTCGATTGAATGTTCATCAGAAAGTCCACACAGGATCAACCAGACATATGAACAGAGGTAAAAAGTCTTTAAAATGTGACACTTGTGGAAAAACATTTAAGTATAAGTGTCGACTGAATGTTCATCAGAGAGTCCACACAAGATCAACCAGAGATACACACATGGGTGAAAAGTTTTTCAAATGTTACATTTGTGAGAAAGCTTTTAATCATAAGTGTCAATTGATTGTACATCTGAGAGTCCACAAAGGTGAGAGGCCATATTCTTGCAAAACATGTGGGAAGTGTCTCGGAAATAGAGAAGACTGGTTAATCCACATGAGAGAACACACAGATCAGGTCCCGTACACCTGCAACATGTGTGGGAAAAGATTTATTGCCTTGAGAGTATTAAAAAAGCATATCAGGACTCACACGGGTGAGAGGCCGTATTCTTGTGAAATTTGTGGGAAGGGTTTTGGATCTGGTCATAGCTTGAAAGTCCACATAAGAACTCACACAGGTGAGAAGCCGTATTCCTGTGAAACATGTGGGAAGGGTTTGGGATCTAGTCATAACTTGAAAGTCCACATGAGAACTCACACAGGTGAGAAGCCGTATTCCTGTGAAACATGTGGGAAACGTCTTGCTTCTAGGAGTGCCCTTAAAGGCCACATAAGAACTCACACAGGTGAGAAGCCATACTCCTGCAACACTTGTGGGAGAAGATTTAGCCACATTACAGCATGGAGAAGACATATGAGAGTGCACATGGGTGAGCAGCAAATATTCTTGTGAGACATGTGTAAAAGGTTTTTCTGACTGTGGTGTCTTGAAAATCCACATAAGAACTCACACAGAAGCCGTGCCCCTGCAACACCTGTGGGAAAAGATTTAGTCAGTCATTGAATTTGAAAAAGCATGCAAGGATTCATACAGGTCACATGCATATAAAAGTCGAACAAAACACATGCAGGTATTTTCAGACTAGTGGTTAATTGACAGCCCACGTGAGAAGAGCCCACGCTTGCAGAAAGTCACATAACTATACCTGAGGGAAAGGACACTGAACATGTCTCAGTCGGGAAGGCATAGGAGTCCACATCCAGGCAAGTTATCTTCTGTTTGCAAAATGTGTGGGAGAGCATTTGTTTGCTGTTGTTCCTGGAGAAAACACTGTGTAGTGTTTTTGTCACTCTACAGTGTATTTGTTACTTCCCAACATGGGGAAACACACACTGATGAAACTTGGGTGGAGAAGAATTCCCCGACTGAATGAAACAAACTCTCAATAGTTTCATCTTTATAATTGAATGTATAAAATTTCCCATTGATGAGATGTCACAGTATTTTTAAAATAGTTCATCGTCAGCAATGACATTAGGTATTTTTAAACTAGTGTCATTTTTGGCTGGACCACAACACTGGAGCACAAATGTCTATGACTGACTGACTGATAGAATAGTGTGGTCAAGTTTTACCATTGGTTGGCAAAGTGTTGGACTTTTCCCTTTGGCCGATGCCCTTCTAAAATGATTTGGCTCAAACAGTTCTATTAAGTTATCAGAGCAAGTAAACAATGGATCCACAATAGTTTTCAACTACTATATTTCTTTAGAAAGTGATCAGGGCCTTTATTTACCTCAACTGCTGAAGGTAAAAGGCCTTTACTTCTAACCACAGCATTAGGTGTTAATACAAACTCAAAATTTCCCAATCTCAGTTATATGTCTGCTTTTTTGAAGCAGAAAAAGTCTTAAGTGCTGCTGGGTCATTTTTATTTTCATCCTGCCAACTACACTAATTCCTATTTTGTCTAGAACGTGTCCTTTTAATATTGTAGTTTTGATGTCATCATTATACAGTTTTTATTGTGGCGTCAGGCTTCAGTGGTTAAACACAAACACAAGTTGTAAAGATGTTCTACATGGATTTAGGTAAGGTGATATATAAATAAACGTGTTTACTTGTGACAGAACTTTGATAACAAGAATATTTCTTTCAATGCTGGTAATTGAGACTGATGTTCCCAAATGAATTGATAGAATAAAGAGGGTGAATATGAGCAACACCAGTTTGCGGTAGCAATGTATACAGTGATCAGTATATAAAGGAACATAGGCAATTCAATGCCGTTTTTCTGTTCTCATGTATTTGTTCAAACAATGAAGCTCTGTTAGGTGATAATGTCAGAATACCAGATTCATATTCAGAGTTCTTTTCATAGTGTTCAGTTATAACATGTAAGAGGTGTTTCAGTGTCTCAGCTCATCTTCTGAAGGTTCAGATAAAGTGTGATATGATACAGTTTGGTAGTTTGATTCATGGAAGTGTCTTAACAAGCTTGTTTACAGCAGTGATAATGTAACACATTTACTCAAGTACTCTAAGTATAAAATCATCTAGATTTCACAGATAATCTTTAACACTTCAATTTAAAAAATGTGTTTATTTTATTTTATTTATTTTACGTATTTTCATTTTATGTATACTTCTACTTTACTAGCAGGCAAATGTAAGTATTTAGTCTACAATGACAGCTGCAAGTTCTTAGCTAAACTGATGAATGAGCTCATGAACTATGATGTCTTTTTAAAGTGTCCAATAATATGCGAACTAGATAAAAATAAAATAGCTCCAGCTCAGCTGGTTGCTACAAAAAAATAGCTGTTCATGGTCTCAGTGACACTGACAGGGGACATTATGTATGAGTAGTTTTACGTTTCATACTTAAAGCTACATTTTGTGGAAAATAATTTTGTTTACCTTATTAACATTTGAATGCAGATATTTGCACTGAGTTATTTAAATTGTCCATATCAAATTATTCCATTCGTTTTAGGCAACATAAATGTTGACAAAATTGCTTGAAAAGTCATTAGTAAAATTAATGTAGTCGTTTATAGAAAATGTGTGAAATGAAGCGAATGTAAAAATCTTAACTTAAAGCGGAAAGAAGAACTGGACCGCTCGCACTGCCGGAACTTCACAGTGTGACACCCGGCGGAAGTAAACAGAGGAAGTGCTAGCAGCGTTAGCTCTGTGGATGTGTGATGTCAGCTTGAAGACGGTGGTGTGGTCGTATCTCAGCTAAATATTCCAGCTGTAACGAAGCAGCGATGTCTTCTCTTCAGTATTTTGTTGAGTTCGTCAACGAGCGACTAACTGCTGCTGTTGAAGAAATATTCGAAGTCTTTGAAAAAATCATCGTCGAGTCCGAGGAAGAGGTCGGTCGTCTGCAGAGACTGCTGGATATCGCTCTGAAACCTGAAATAAAGTTACACAGGACAGGTGTGTAAAACCACAATGGTCTTGATAAATACTAACAAAGGAATGTGGCTCATATTGGACTTGTTAAGTTGTTTTCTCCATCCAGATAACAAGAGATCGGGGCTGCGGTCCAATAGTCTTTTTGCTTAGGAAGGTTCAAACGGAAGTGACCCGGAAGTATCTGAGCGGCAGACATGATAAGAGCTGGTCGAATTCTCTAAATGATAACGAAACGAGCTTCAATGCTTCCTGTCTTATCTCCTTTAACATAGGAAACAAATCCAGTTAGGAGTCATCATGAAAAACATACATATTGAATTCATAGTCAACAATATCATCATCACAACAAAATACTATAGCCTATACATAAATGTAATTTCACTAAATCCACTTCCGTTGTGGAATGCACTAAAAACGAATTTCTCTATTTAACAAATGTATAGAAATGTCAGGATGCCAGGAAAGTTGCCTACTTATGTCTGAATATAATTTCTAATGATTTCTTGCTCTGTTCCATATTTCTATTACATTATTATTTTACCAGCTCACCTTTCTCTATTTGTATATTCCTTTCATGTCATCTTATTTCAACATTTCAATCCTGTTTGCTCCATTTTTTTGGTTAGGAAAGGAAGAGACTTTTCAACCGCGGACCAGGTCTAACTTAAAAACCGCATATTTATCAAAGCTGGATTTCACTCCACAAATACATACTTTCTGACTATAATGTTAAACCGCTAAATCCACATATTTTTGTATTCACAAAGAGAACAAACGCTTCACAAATCTGAAACTGTTGTAAACAGTCTTTACACTGTCCCATTTATTTTAGTTCAGATTTGACAAGTTGACTTAATATCGACACAGTCTGTCTTTTATGTTGTTAATTTCATTAAAGAAATAAAGATTTCACAAAAATTCAACAGTGAGTATCAAACAGTATGAAAGATTCAGTGTCAAAATGTAGTTTAAAAAAAAGGACAAATCATCACTTATTGCTGTAACTGAACTTTCCCCTCCATTATTGAATCGGAAACTAACTTCAGCATTTTTCCATCATCAAATGAGTTACCTCTTTCTTGTGTCCCTTTGTCCCTCCAGAGCTCCCACAGCAACATGTCTGTCAGGAGGAGGAGGTTCTCAGTGACCAGCAGCTCCGGAACCAGAAGAGGAACTCCAGTCTGGACCAGGACGACCCAGAACCACCAAAGGTTAAAGAGGAACAGGAGGAAATCTGCACCAGTCAGGAGGGAGAGCAGCTTGTACTGAAGCTGGAGACTGATACCTTTGTGTTGACTCCTGATCATGAGGAAAGTGACCACAGTGAACCAGAACCAGACAGTGACCACCAGCTCCTCTCTCACACCTCTCCTGTAGCTGAGAGCCAAGATCAGACAGGAAGTCAACATGTGGACTCAGGATCAACTGCAGATGCACAGTCAAAGACTGACTCTAAAACTCACACAGGTGAAAAGTCTTTCAAATGTGACACTTGTGGAAAAGCATTTAAGACTAAATCTCCATGGTATAGACATCTGAGAATCCACAGAGGTGGTAAACCATTTATTTGCATTACTTGTAAGAAAGGTTTCTGGTTTCGAGGTGCTTTGTTGGACCATATGATTACACACACAGGTGAGAAACCATATCCATGCAAAACTTGTGGTAAACGTCTCAGAAGTAGAGCAGGCTTGTTAACTCACATGAAAACTCACACAGGTGAGAAGCCATATTCATGCAAAACATGTGGGAAGATTTTTAGATCTAGATCAGGTTTGTCACTTCACATAAGAACTCACACAGGTGAGAAGCCGTATCCCTGCAACACCTGTGGGAAAAGATTTAGTGACATTTCAGCATTCAGAAGACATATGAGAGTGCACACAGGTGAGAAGCCATATTCTTGTGAAACGTGTGGGCGGTGTTTTGTCACCAGTGGGGTCTTGAAAGTCCACATAAGAACTCACACAGGTGAGAAGCCATTTTCATGCAAAACATGTGGGAAGTGTTCCACAACTAGATCAGGTTTGTTGTCCCACATAAAAACTCACACAGGTTAGAAGCTGTACCCCTGCAACACCTGTGGAAAAACATTCATTCGGTCATTGAATTTGAAAAATCATGCAAGAATTCATACAGGTTACATAAATACAAAAGTTGTACAAAACACATGAGAGTATTTTCATACTTAGTGTATAATTGATGGCCCACATGAGAGGAGCCCACGCTGGTGTGAAGCCATATCACTGCAACACTTGAGCGAAAGCACATAAGATCACATACAGGCAAGTTGCCTACTAGGAGAGCATTTATATGTCGTGCTTTGTGGAGAAAACACACATGAACTGACGGAAGTGAAGAGCCACAAAATTGCAGCCTTTGTGGTAAAGTTTTTGTCAGAGAATCAGTTTACACAGGAGAAACCATACAGATAAAACTTCAGGTTAAGGATAAAGTTCACAACTGAATCAAGTAGACTTTTACAATAGCTACATCCCTGTAATTGAATTCAGACCTGTCAAACTTTATGCATTGTGACATCATTGTATGCCGGTATGATGAGCATCTAGCAAAGTGGTTGCTGAAACTGGTCCGCCAGCAATAATATCTGACCCGCCAGATTATTTTGATAATCTGATTTTTTTTAAATTTTTTTTTTTAATCTTACAATATGAGACTCACAGTCCCACACAGTCACAGTCCCACATTTATCTATAATGTCAGTTACCTGCAGAATCACTTCCTCTTTGGGAATTTCTGCCTACAAAATTGAAGCGTAAGAAAGTTCTTTTTTTACAGTTCTTGTGAGCTGTTTCTGAAAAGTTCTGACAGGACGTTCCAGAGGTTCTGTTGATTGTTTGACAGACCTCTGAAATAGCAGAGGTTCAATGTGTGATATTGTAACAACAGGGTGCCGTTACCACACCCCAGTAGTAAATATTACTTTTATTTCAGCATGTGAGCATATGAGTAATTGAAGTGCATATAGTCAGTTATTAAGGCAACAGGGTTAATAATCACACAGGTGGGATTTTAGTAATGCATTGTTTGTTATTTGTAGTTGGTGCGTGTATGTTTGCAGGGAGGACATGTGGCTGTTCACCTGTAAACAAGTGGATGACGCAAGTGAGATATGATTTAATAGTATTTGGTAATTGAAATTAAGAATCACATGCTATTCTCACTGCACAGTGAAATTTGTCTGTGATGCACAACTTACCTCTGCCTGTCTTCCTCTCCCAGGGTGTTCGAGTTAAAGAGTTCCCCGGGGACTTGCGTACTTATTAATAAGTTCCGGGAGGGCAGTATTAATTTGCGGAAGTGGGCAGAGGGGAGGATGTGTATTTGTATTGTCTGAATGTATTCATGTGGGCGTGTAAATATTTCTAAAGATTTATAATATATACATACATATATATATATATATATATATATATATATGTATATATATATGTATGTATACAGGTAGTTATGTGTTTAAGTTACTCTGCAATGGGACATGCCAGCCTAATAGGTGAACAGACACCCTTACTCTGTTCATTCTGTTGGGTGACTTTTTGCACTGTACCATGTGAGAAAATAAAGTTTTTCATGCTGAAAACATTTCCCTGGAGTCGTATCTTCTCATTTTGTCTCGTGTGGCCGCTCAGGCATTGTGACAGATATGAAAAATAAAGCACCAGTTCAGTAAATCAGCCAAAGGTATGATATGTGACTGTGGGTCACAGTTCCACATGTGAGCCTTTGATTATGTTCTGGCTGCCATCCAATGGATTAGAACAAATTTACCTGCCGACCCCTGGTCTAGTCTGTCGAAAAGCCAAAGAAGAAGAAATGGTCGACCTTCACTCACCTATGAAAAAATATTAGCAAGTGAGGATGACTGGTAAATGTGTGTCATCTCAAGAGACAGTATCTGAGATCTGAAAGTCAACAGCAACACTCTCGACCCCCCTGACTGTTTCACTGAAGGTGAAACTTTTATCAACTAGAAACTTTGATGAACCTGAAATTAAACAAATTAAACTGTCGATGCTGAACTCAACTTCTTTCATTCCAGGGAACAAAAGTCAGATGGACGGAAACGTGGTGAGTTTGTTCTATATATTGTATATGTTGTATATGATGTATATGTTATATATATTGTATATGATGTATATATTGTATATCTGATATATATTATATATGTTGTATTATATGTGTTGTTGTTTATGATATATATATATATTGTATTACAGAGCAGATGTTGCTTGTGTTGAATCCATGTCACTGAGTCAGTCTCTCCTGAGGACGGAGTTTCCTACGCCTCCATCAGCTTCAACAAGAAGACCAAGACTAAAGCCCGGGTGAGCTAATTCTTCTGTTCTGTTTGTCATTTAGCTCTTTTTTGTTTTCTGTTTATTACATTTTATTATTCGTGTTCATTATTTTCTCTGATTTATTGTAAATTTTCCAAAATGATTTTTTCTCCTTATTTCAGATGCAGCTGCTTCATATGCCATAAACATAAAAACATATACATCAGCTCTTATATCCAGAATGATTAACTGATTTGTTTGTGTTTTTTGTGAATGTTTTGTTTATAATTTTCATCATTTATATAATAAAGTTTAATTCACTCCATGTTTTCTGATTTTCAGTTATTTCCATAATATCTGTCTCTCATTTGCTGCACAGCTGTTAGTGCTATAATATATGACACATATGCCCCTATATCAAGAGGGATGTTTCCATTTATGTCACGTATTATTATCACATATAAACATCCTCTGAATATATGAAGATATAAGTTTATAACATATATGAAATGCCCATAGTAAGATTTGTACATGTACATATATTAAAATAACATGTTCCGACCATAAATGTTTACAATATAAATTTAATTTGTATAAGCAAGAAAAGGTTTATATATAAAAGGTTTCAAGGTCTAAAAGGTTTCATATATAATTTTATATTTACATACATTTCATATATGGTGATTTTATAATTGTGCATTTATTACATTTGCATATGAGTATCATCAGAGGAAATGATACAAGACAATGCTGAAGAACAACCTTCAAAGTTCAGAAAGGTCAATCATAAAAGAATAAAAGAAGAATCTAGTTTAGATTCTAATGAGAAATCTCAGCAGAGGCCTGTGTGACTAGTTGCAGCTTTCTTTCATTTCACCACATTTCTATTTCTCACCACACGGTGGCGCCAGAGATCCTGAATCCTCCAACACCATATGGCCAAAAGTATGCGGACACCCAAACATACACATGACCTAAATCTTCATCAGACCGAGTCCTGTGAGTGAAACTTGTTTTACTGCAACAATGAAAAATATATTCTTCATCTTCAATGACAACATGTTCAGTTTAGGGGGATTTTCAAGTTTTCAGATGAGATGAAGAAGAAGAGAAGAGGAAAGAAAGAAGGAAAGAAGGTGAAAAAAGACACAGTGAACATGAGAAGAAAAGAAGGAAGGAAGAAGACACTGAAGACAGAAGGAAGGGAAGTGAAAAGAGATATGAGGAAACTGAGGAAACTGAGGAAACTGAGGAAAAGAGGAAAAGGAAAAAGACCATCAGGGGGATCTTCACATCTGAATCTACATCCACCAGATCAATGAAGTGAGTAACAGGCACAATGTTTATTTCTAATATGAGAAAATACAAGTTAACATCTCGAAGAAAAGGTCGCATTAGTTTTTATTCAGTCATCACATCCAGTAAATATAAACAAACCAGACAGAAAAAAACGGTGTGTTTATTGAGTAGTGACTGAACAGGCTAATATATGCCTGCCTACATTCTTATCAATTAAGCTGCCCACCAAAAAGAAAAGTAAATTCTTCACACTTGTAACCCTCAGAAATATCTCTGTCAACCATTATTTTGAAAACCAAAAGGAAATTAAAGCAGCAGTCCTCGCTCTGTCCGCACCTCGGGGCCAAACTTTACACTGCTGTAAAGCAAGTGTAAACCAGACCATGAAAATTTCAAGAAAAGGTCACAACTGACACTGACTGACTGTCACTGAAAGGATTACTTCCTGTTTTCAGTAGGTGGTGCTATGACTATGACTTCATATTAGCATGCAGATGTCTTCAGTGTGGGACTCTTGTCAATCTTATAAAGTTTGGGACAGTTTGGACAATATCTACTGGACTTAAAACAACTTCCTGTTTTATGGCGAAACACAGAAATTTGCCACGGGCAGGTCCTCTGACGAAAACCCAAAAGCTTTATTCTTTAGCATCACAAAGGTCTTAAGATCGGACCGACCAAACAAGATGTCGAGCTGATAAATTCTCTAGCAAGAATTCTTTAAAGTATGATGTCCTTAATTTGCAAAAACAGCGTCAAAATTGCAGAGTAAATTCAAAATGGCTGACTTCCTGTTGGGTTTAGGGTATGGGTGCAGGAGGCCTTTTTGTAAGTCTTGACATGTTACATGTGCCGACTGAATTTCACACGTAGGTGAAACACAGGATAAATAAATAAATCATTTATAAATCATCAATAAATGAGGATATTATTGACTGTAACAGTTTGTAATCACCAAACTTCCTGAAGCAGATACGACACAAACATACATTCACTCTGTGTGAGAAGTCTACACTCACACCCTCTCTGCCTCGCTCACACACACACACACACATAGACATTTAGTAACAGTAATTAGTGTGTGTGTTGAGCATGAATAAATTGCAGTTGGAGGGGGGCTGTTAATGCAGTTAAGGACAAAGGGCTGTCAAACAAACTGATTCTGCTTGGCTGGATGTCAGGACACATTCCAGGCACACGGAGGCCTGCTCTCTAAACTCCAGGCTGATGGGGGATTAAGATGAGGAAGTGAATTAAAACATAAATATGGATTAAGCTGCTGATTGAGTAAAGAAGGAGGCGGTCAGAGTCTGAGCTTTAAAGTCATTCAAATCCACTGTCTGACAGAGAAGGGTTCATGTTCAGACCTCAGGGAGTTTTAGTGTTGAATCTTTTTCCTTCTTGAAGCTGAGATGTGAAACTTTACCTCCCAAACCCGACTGACACCCGTGCATGAGAGTAATTACATCATTAGGCATACAAATGGGCTAATTTAGCTTTTTTTTAACTTGTCTAAGCGTCCATAAGACCATGACCCAATTTCAACACCCAATCACAAGTCAGAGAAAATCTCCTGAGCCAATGGGATGCTTGAAGCCACCCACCTGCATGCATAATAATAAGAGGCAGAATGACACAAGGGGGGAAACTTGCAGAAGCTGCAGCTTGCTCAGTGCGTCAGGACATTAGTTTGCCTCTCTGAAAGAAGCCTTCACCATGGTCGACGCCTTCTGTGCCACTTGGAAACTGGTCGACAGTGAGAACTTCGATGAGTACATGAAAGCACTTGGTGAGTGATTATTCTTTATTTTACCATGTTCTGTTTGTTTCATTTCACTCACATGTGCAGTAAACCTGAAGCTTTACTCCCTGTCCCCTGCTCAGGTGTGGGCTTCGCCACCCGGCAGGTTGGTAATGTGACCAAGCCGACTGTGATCATCAGCCAGGAGGGCGACAAGGTGGTGGTTCGCACCCAGAGCACCTTCAAAAACACAGAGATCTCCTTCAAGCTGGGGGAGGAGTTTGACGAAACCACCGCTGACGACAGGAACTGCAAAGTAAGACCACGTCCATCTAAAATGTATATGCACTGAGACACAAGCTTTAATCAGTGGACAGTCCAGAGAGAGTTTGAGGGGTTTCACTTTGCTTCTTTTCAAACCATCCTTATTATTAAATGCATCAAATCATGTATTTAATCCAAGACTTCATTCTTATCACTGTTCTCTGATGATAAATAAAAAAAAGTATTTTTGCCAAATGAAGTTCTGTCGTCGAACTTGGCGTCGGGGGGAGTGCTTCTTTGTTTTTCTATTGGTGGATCAGTGACGAGGCCTGACATGTTGAAACCTCTCGAAATAATAGACCCGCATTTGGCAGCATCTTAATTCACACATTTTCTGCCAAAATAACAACAAAAAACGTTCTCCTCTTTTGTCTTTCAGTCCACAGTCGCTCTGGAGGGAGACAAGTTGGTCCATGTCCAGAAGTGGGACGGCAAGGAGACCAAGTTTGTCAGAGAAATCAAGGACGGCAAATTGGTCATGGTGAGACAAACAGTCGCTTCTTATTCCTGCCTGGCTTGACTTTATACACGACTTTAATGAAGTACATTTACTAATGAAGGAGAGAGAGACACTGGAACTATGCACACTAGTGTAATACTGCAGCCACTAATGACAGATGAATTATTGGAAACTAAAGTTTAATAAAACCATTCAGACGCTTCACTCACTCAAGAGACAAAGTCACAGTAGCAGGTGATAAACTCTGAGGACGTGTCAGGCATTATTAGTAATAATATTATTATTAAGAGTCTCGTGTGTGTGGGAAACTTTTTCAAGTGGTTTCTTTGGGATCCTTTTAAAAACAAAGGCCCTTAGAAACAGAGACGTAGCAGATATATAAGAAATAAGGATTAAAAAGTTACAAACCACTTTTGAGAAAGTTACTTGAGTTTCTGAGGCTCCGAACTTTCAGCCAAGAACCAGTTTGTTTCAGTCAGGATGAATGGATTCACCTCCTCTGTGTTGAATAAATTAAACTCAGCTGCTGCCACAAAGCTGCTTCAGTGGTTAAGTTTGTCGTCATGGTAACTGCTTCCACTGTCCTGCAGAATCTGACCTTTGAAGAAATCCATGCGGTGCGCACCTACGAGAAGGCATGAAGTCTGCGAGCAACAGCCTCCCAGTGAACCAGGCAACAACATTGATTTTATAATTATTATTGACTGACTGTTTGCTTCTCTTTGCACTTCATCCTCCTCCACATGTTCACGACCTGCAGGCTGCACGTTTTGTAAGAACTGTTTTTTTTTTTTATATGAATACATTTCTGTCGTGATGGATGGATCGTCTTTGCAACCCTGTGTGAAACATGAAATAAAAAACACAGAGAGAAAATGTTTGTCTCTGATGGTTCCTTTATTTCATTGAATTAATTGATGTCCTCTGATAGAAGGATCAGTTTGACCCTCAGGTACCTGTCGGTCCAAACCTTGACCTTAGTGATGGTCACATCTGAACCAGTTCTGCAAGGTGGCCCTAGAAAAGCTTCATTTCTTGATGCTTCATTTCAAAAGAGTGACATCTACTGGTCAGAATGTAAAACAGGCAAATGCAAACGTTTGTATTTTAAAAAGTATCAGGAAAACTGTGATGGTATCACATATGATGGTACAGAATTCATAAATGAAGGATTAATCCATCAATAAATACCAACAATCTAAAAATAGATTTACAAAAACAGCATAAAACATTTATAAAAACATTTATTGATGAAAGCTCTCTGATTGGTTGGAGAGTTAACCAGTGGGTTTTACCAGCACCGACAGTCCAGATCATGAAGAGGCTGAAAGAAGAAGCTAAATGACTAAGCTAAACAATTAGCTAATAGATAAAAAGCAACTGAAAATGGAAATTAAAGAGGGAATCCAGATGTATTCCCATTTTTAAAATGCCTTTGCAAATAGTTTTTCAAAGTCTATTATTTATTAATTAATTAATAATTGTATTTATAAATGGTTTATGTTGTTTTTGTAAATCCATTTTTAAATCCGAAGTATTTATTGATGGATTAATCCTTCATTTACAAATTCTTTTCACAAATCCTGTTTTTAATGCCTATGATGTCCCTGGTCCTCCATATAATAGTAAGTACTGTAAAAGCAATCAACATATGTCTTTGAAAAAAAAATTAAATAAACCTAAGCTTCTATAATAATGATACTTTATTATACTCGTACTTTATTGTGGGAAATAAAATCGAAGTGTCAAACTGGTGAAGTCGTAGGTTTCCTTGGTGGATCCATCATAAATAAAACAATCAATGTCAGTCAGTGTTATAAACCAAAACTATCAAATATCATTTCTCAGAGGTCTAATGTCGAGGTCACTCCATAATTTAAACTGCCACCAAAAGCGGTGACGTGGTACAGACGAGAGGCGAGGCTTCACCCGTCATCGGTGACGTCATACGTCTAAAATAACACACACTTCGCCGTACTCGCCGCACACTTTGAAGCCACAACCTCTCACATGACATCACTACCTGACCTCTGACCTTTCTACGGAGGAGGGGAACAGAGAAGACGCGAGGCCATGAAGTGTCACTGCGTCACTACTCTAGTTTCACAATAAAAGAATCTGATTAGTTTGAGAATCAGCGGAGTCACAGTTTACACAAATGTCCCACACCAGCTGAAAACCTGCTGCATAATAAACTAGCATCAACATGTCAAAGTGTCTGATTGTCCCCTGATGTTACTTCACCGGATTTCAGAGTCTTTGATAATAGTTATATTGGTTTGACATATTCAGTAGCAGTCTGTCTCTTCAGGAACAGCAGACGGGTTTCTGTTGCACTTTTGCACAAAATAGAAATAATTTCTTTAGAAAAGTCGGCAGAACACAGCTGTGAATGATCTGTTTCCACTGAATGATTCCAATCAAACGTGATAACAGTTCCACCAGTCCGCCTCTTGGGTCTGATACGACAGGCGCCACGACTTGAATGCGAAAAGTGTTTCTATTTTACTTTAGCAAAATATTGCTTCGTCGCATCATGCGAGCGTAGACATTTTTCCATCACTCGTTTTTAAGTTTGCATTTTCAAATTGCACATTTAGCAGGTTAATGGAAACACACTTACTGTCCCTGTTCCCCAGCTGTCAACAACTGTCATTAAAACTTTCTACTAAATGGTAAATGAAACAACAAATGCAGTTAAAGACAGTGTGTGTGTGTGTGTGTGTGTGTGTGTGTGTGTGTGTGTGTGTGTGTGTGTGTGTGTGTGTGTGTGTGTATTGACCGTCTTAATAAGGTCAAAGGTCTGGGATGACTTTTGTTACTTCACAGTTCCATATTTAGTAAATGTACTCTGTTAATTCCCGCCACTGAGGACGAACCTGTTCCTTTTCCTCCTCCACAAGTTCCTCCTCCTCCGCCAAAACACAGGCAGTCACGTGACCAGCTGTCCGCTGTACTTCCTGTTTATTTCAGAGGGTTTCCGACACAGGTCAGTGAGTGTAGTTGATATTTAGTTTTTGTGATACACCGTAGTGTCAGTTGTAAACACACTCAACATGGAACAACTTCCGTGTTTCGAGCTGCTGCTGCTGCTGTGCACCGCGGCTGCGCTCGAGGCGGCTCCGACCAGAAGCAGCTACCTGCCGGGCACAGGTGAGTAGAAACCCCGGGTCTTCCGGCTAATGGGAACTGTATTGGGTTATTTCTGCCTCGTGTCACTTTCCACAGAACTACAAACTCCAACATCCACAGCGGGAATGAAGACGGTTAGTTTGTCTGCTTCAGGTTTCACTGAACAGAGAGAACCGGGTTTGGTTTGAGAGAGAAAACTCGATATTTTCTTAAATCTAAAGCCGGAAGTTGGATGTCATGTTGGCCGAATTCACCCTAAGACCTGGTGGATTTATATCAGGCGTTAAATTATTCTGTTAAATCTACATGTTTTTTAAAGATGATCTAAAACTTAATAGTTGGCAGTTTTTCAAACGGAGTCTGGCCAGAGAACAATCTCTTAATGCACTTGTACATTTAATGGAGCTAATGATGGTTTTATGGATTTTTTACTTTTATTAATTTAATTTCAAAACAGGTTTTAAGTTTGTTTTGTAACTTTGCAACAAATGATATTGAAATAATAATCAAATTAAACCAAGAAAGAAAGACGGCGCTGTGAGATAATAATGTAAGACATGGTGAATATATCAGCCCTGTGATACATTACAAACACGGAACTTCATCAGACACCCAAACCATTAATAGAGAAACAAATACACTAATTATATGTAATGAAATAGTTTTTTAACCCTTACTTGAATAAATCTGGTCAAAAATATCGCAGTATAGAGCATATGTTGTCATTTCTAAAAAATTAAAGTACAGACATTTTCTCACCAGTGCAGTTTGTTTGAAGTGAAATGCAAATGATAGTTTCTCTAAATAGCCTGTTAGCCAATCATAAATTAACGTTAGATTTTTACTTTTCAAAAATGTATTTTTAACTCACTTAAACTATATTTCAGGATTTTTATCTCTGTCTTCTCCTCCCTATCTCTCACCGTGCCTCCGTCTATCCAGGCAGGTTCTGGCACATCACCGACCTCCACCTGGACCCCACCTACCACCTGGCCCCAGATCCCACCAAGGTTTGCTTCTCCTCCAAAGGAGCCCCAGCCGCCCACGCTGGCCTGTTTGGGGACTTCCTATGTGACTCTCCCTACCGCCTCATCCAGTCCGCCTTCTCTCACATGGAGCCGCTCATGCAGCAGCAGGACTTCATCATATGGACCGGGTCAGTACGGTGATGAGGGATGATGATCGGCTTCACCTCTGTTCACATCCTCTTTCATTTTACAGCGACATGATCACACTTCCTTTAAAACCCTTCTCTCTCTCTAAAGTGATGAGGTTTTAAAGGTTCCAGATAAGATAAGATAAGATAAGATATACCTGTATTGATCCCCCATAGAGGAAATTCGAATTCAAATTTGACACAGCAGCAGAAGGGAAAATGTAACAAGAAATAAAATAAGAATAAAACAGAATCTAAACTAAATAAGATAAAATAGAAATGCTGTGTAGTGTGATTATAGATCAGCTCTAGCTTCTATATTAATACTGTGAAAGTATCAAAGCCTCAGTCCACAGAGAAATGCACACAGCCTGTATTCAGAAACTGAGCCTTAAAACCAGCCGTCAGGACTTCTGGAACTTTGTGATGTCACAACAAAGCAGTCACCAAGCCCCGCCCACCTGGACCCACCATCCAAACCTTGCAGGATTTGGTTTCTCTGAGTGTTTTTACCTGAAATCTGCTATATTTTTATTGAATCACTCAGAAAACAGTCAGCCAATCAGAAGAGAGGCTCAGAGCCTCCTCTCTTCTGATTGGCTCACCGACCTGTTGTTACTAGAGCTGCAGAGAGAAGCCTGAGAGAGGAGATGTGAAACTACACTGAGATGGTTTTTATATCTTCTTGTGAATCAACACTTCAAATAAAACAGAGAAGAAGAAGAAACATGGAGCTTTAATGTTTCTGATTGAGTGCAGGTTTGTGCTCTCATGTGTTTCAGGAAGCAAAAGTGTCACTTCCTCTTGTTATATTTGCTCCCTGCTGACTATAACTTCACTTTATTATCTCTCTGGAGGTTTGTGGCTGAGCGCACACTGGAGCTCATTCATAATAACAGAATAAAAGCCCAATCTCAGAACTTCTCTGCATGTTTTAGTGATCGTCAGGTCAGCATCATTAGAGATGCAAAAGGCACAGTGAGTTAAAAGTTACATCTGAGCAGCTAATATGAAATTAGCATAAAGGAGAGAAGCTAATGTTCACTACAGTGTGGCAGTGACACAGAACAAGTGTAGATGTGGGCGTCAGTCACAGCAGATGTACCTTCATACAGCTGCAGCTAATCAGCTCAGCCAGGAATTCACAGTCTTATTAAAGAGAAAGCACTGCCACTTAAAACTTGAAAAGCCTCCCCGGGTGAAGGATTAAGTCTCTGTGCAAGCAGATTTTTTTCTGTTTTCTTCTGTTGTTACTGGTCTTTGTAGCACGAGTTTGCCTTTTCCCTGAAAGGGGAAGTCTGTTGTACAGTGGGACTCTTGTTATTTCTGCAATGTTGGACAGTTTAGAAGAAATCAGCTGAGGCAGCCATGTTTGAAAAATGTCTACAGTGATGATTTGATACAGAGGGAACAGTGTTTGTTTTTTTAACGTGATTTCTGCTGTTGGGTCTGACCGGCGAAGCGATGTACGGAAGCCCTGAAAGGCAAGTGAACTTTTTTTTGTTTTGTTTTTTTGTGAAAAAAATGTTTCTAAGTTTGTTTGTTTTTTATCTGTGAAAACAACCCGAGAGTCAAGTGGTAA